TCTAGGGTGTCACCCGACTCCAGCCAGTGCTGCGGGCAGAGCCGCAGGGAGCAGCCGGGGCCCGACTGGCCCTGGGCTGGAGGAAGACGTCCCCACGGCAGCAGCCATGGCCATCGCAGGGCCCCCTCCCCCTGCTGCTGTTCAGCCTGCGTGTGGGGCAGTCCTGGCATGGGAGAGCTGACCGTGGCTGCCACAGCCATATTGTGCGGGTGGCCAGGGCGATGGATGGGGGCTCATAGACCCCGAGTGCCACAACTGGGGGCCCACACACGGCCCACGGCCCAGGGTGATGGTGACAATGAGCACAAGCTCTGACCGTGTGTCCCTCGAGCCAGGTCCACCCCCACACACCTCTGGTCACTGGGTCCTCACAGCCTCCCAGCTGGTGCTAGCACCGTCTCTACCACTTGGGGGAAACTGAGGCACGAGTACTAGAACTTGAGCCCAGGCCCTCTGTCTTTGGGAAGCAGGTGCCTGGCCCGTGACGTGGCTGAGCAGAGAGGGCTGCACAGAGTCATGGGAGAGGAACGGGGCAGGCAGTGCCCCTGGGCCTCCCCCACAGGCCACAGAGGAACGCGGGGCCACCAGGCTGGGGTGCAGGGCAGAGCTGACGAGGGGGCCCTGACATTGGCATAGGGGCAGAGCTGAGGGCATCCGCTGACCACGGGGTCCTGACGGCTGCTGGGGAAGCGTGGAGCCCCTGCCTGGGGTCTGCTGGGTGGGGAGGGGGCAGGCCAAGCCCAGCTTCCCCGCCTCACGGGAGAGAGGCCCTAGGGTGGGGATGGGTGGGGTGGGCGGTGGGGCAGGAGGAGAAAGGGGCGCTCCTGGTGGTGGGTCCCAGGAAGAGAGCGGCTCAGAGGGACCAGACATGCCCGTGGGGGAGCACTCGGCTGCTTGCCACAGGTGCAGGGGTGTGCGTGTGTCTGTGTCTGTGTCTTTGTGTGTCTGTGTGTCTCTGCTTGTGTCTGCGTGTGTCTGTGTCTGTGTTTCTGTGTCTATGTCTCTGTGTCTGTGTCTCTGTGTCTGTGTGTGTTTGTGTCTCTGTGTGTGTGTCTGTGTGTGTTCGTGTGTGTCTGTGTCTGCATGTGTCTTTGTGTGTGTGTTTGTGTGTGTCTGTGTCTGTCTGTGTTTCTGTGTCTATGTCTCTGCGTCTGTGTATCTGTCTGTGTCTCTCTGTGTGTGTTCTGTGTGTCTCTGTGTCTGTGTGTGTCTGTGTCTCCGTCTATGTCTCTCTGTGTCTCTGTGTCTCTGTGTGTGTTTGTGTGTGTCTGTGTCTGTGTTTGTGTGTGTCTGTGTCTCTATGTGTCTGTGTGTGTGTCTCTGTGTCTGTGTGTGTATCTGTGTCTCCATCTATGTCTCTGTGTGTCTCTGTGTCTCTGTGTGTCTGTGTGTGTGTGTCTGTGTGTGTCTGTGTCTCTGTCTATGTCTCTGTGTGTCTGTGTGTGTGTGTCTGTGTGTGTTTGTGTGTCTGTGCTGTGTCCCTGTGTCTGTGTCTGTGTCTCTATGTGTCTGTGTGTGTGTTTGTGTGTCTGTGTCTGTGTGTGTGTCTGTGTCTCCATCTATGTCTCTGTGTTTCTCTGTTTCTCTGTGTCTCTGTGTCTGTGTCTCTGTGTGTCTGTGCTGTGTCTGTGTCTGTGTCTCTATGTGTCTGTGTGTGTCTGTGTCTCTGTGTCTCTGTGTTTCTCTGTGTCTCTGTGTCTGTGTGTGTGTCTGTGTGTCTGTGTCTCTGTGTGTCTGTGCTGTGTCTCTGTGTGTCTGTGTGTGTCTCTGTGTCTCTGTGTCTGTGTCTCTGTGTGTCTGTGTGTGTCTCTGTGTGTCTCTGTGTCTCTGTGTCTGTGTGTGTCTGTGTCTCTGTGTGTCTCTATGTCTCTGTGTCTGTGTCTCTGTGTCTCTGTGTGTCTGTGCTGTGTCTCTGTGTCTGTGTGTGTCTGTCTCTGTGTGTGCCGTGTCACCCCCTCCTCGGGGCCCGGGGCACCCGTGTCCTCCCACAGCTATCGCCCCCTCCACCTCGCCGTGGCTGGACGTGCTCACGCTCACCTTGGGAAGCCCAGCTGGGCGCAGGCGACCTCGGCGTGGCGCGCTCTCCAGTCGTCGGAGCACACGGTCCTCCACGCAGAAGCCGTGAACACCTGCAGCGCCGCGTGCTGGCCGCTCACCCGGACTGGCCGACGGACAGGGCGTGTCCCACGAGTGGCCAGGCAGCGACTCCCAGCCCTCCTCCCCCACGGCCGACACCCGTCTGCACCCCCACCCCCAACGCCCACCCCGAGCTGAAGCTGAGCCTCTGGGTGCCCCTGGGCCGGGGCCAGGGCCACTGCGTCCCAGCTGGGCAGGTGGCCGACACCAGCAGTGACCGTCTCCCAGCCGGGAAGCGCGAGGCTGCCTTCTGCCGGCTCCTCCGAGGGCGACCTTACCGCACCGGTACTCGTCCTCCCCTTGCTTGCAGTCCGAGACCCCGTCGCACCGCGCGGACAGCTCGATGCACCTGAACGAGGAGCGGCACCTGTACTTCCCAGAGCAGTCGAAGTGGACTGAGAGAGGCAAGGAGACGGGGCGTGAACCGACGGCTCTGGCAGTGCACGACCCTGACGGCTGGCCCCTGCCAGTGCGTGCCCTTGAACTTGCCTCCTACTACGGAAGCCTGTCCTGAAATGGCCTCCCAGCCGGCGCCGTGGCTCAATAGGCTAATCCTCCACCTTGCGGCGCCGGCACACCGGGTTCTAGTCCCGGTCGGGGCGCCGGATTCTGTCCCGGTTGCCCCTCTTCCAGGCCAGCTCTCTGCTATGGCCAGGGAGTGCAGTGGAGGATGGCCCAGGTGCTTGGGCCCTGCACCCCATGGGAGACCAGGAAAAGCACCTGGATCCTGGCTCCTGCCATCGGATCAGCGCGGTGCGCCGGCTGCAGCGGCGGCCATTGGAGGGTGAACCAACGGCAAAGGAAGACCTTTCTCTCTGTCTCTCTCTCTCACTGTCCACTCTGCCTGTCAAAAAAAAAAAAAAAAAAAAAAAAAAAGAAATGGCATCCCTGCCCAGTGTCTGCTGAATTCCCGGGCGGGGGCTGGGGAGGGGGACTGCCACTCCCCGCTTTGTCTGCGGAGCCACAAGTTAGGGCTCAGGGTCAAGAGAGGGCCTGCAGGGCCGCGGGCTGACCAGCCTAGCCGGCCGAGCAAGGTGCCCCTGCCGAGACCTGCTCGGCGTCCTGCCCGCTCTCACTGGGGGCGGAGCAGGAGTGGACCGTGGACCCCGCCTCCAGGGAGGGGCCACGCAGTTATCTCAGAGAGACGGGGAGAGAGGACCCTCCGTCCAGACGCCCCCCTTTTCCCAAAAGCCACATGCACCTTGCGATAAACATCGCTGGCTTGCCTGGCACAGCGTGAATGGGGCTCTTTGTGGCTTCCACCCTGGTGGCTCCCCCGCCCCACCCCGCCCCCTCGAGATCCTGTTCCACTGCTGCCTCTGGGCGCTGCTACCTGGGCAGGTGACCTGGTGACGAAGCCCCGCGCCCGGCCAACAGAGCCCCTGCCTAACCCAAGGTCCGCAAGCCAGGACAGCTTGCCGCCAGTAATTAAGGCTGCGTGGCCGCGGGGCGCTCGTGAGAGCCGGGGAGCTCATGAAAGTTTGAGCTCCTGGCGCGGGCGTCCGAGGGCCTCTCAATAATGCATGGTACTCACTGCCCAGGCCGACGGCCAGCGCCAGAATCAGCGCGATGATCCCCACGACGAGGACTGGAAAAAACTTCAAGGGCAGCAGCGACAGGATCTGTGCAGCCACCGCGTCTGCGTCTGCGAACCAGAGAGGAGCAGGCGTGCAGGGCGCCGCGCAGCCTCGGGCTGAGGATCCAAAGCCTTCAAAGGCAGCCACTCGCCCCCACCCGCCTCTGTGCGGGGATCGTCCCAGAGGACTGTCCCCAGGGTAGGGGTGGTGCCCTGCCTTGGCAGCGTCCCCAGCACAGCTACCTGGTGGTCCCAGCCCCCAGGACCCCAGGTTGCCATCCCATCTGGGAACAGGTCGTTAAGACAAGGTCCAGTGTGTCAGGCGCTTGACAGGGGACATCAGCTCGCAGAGACGCGGGAGGGGGCGGGCACAGAGCCGCACGGTGCCCTTGCAAGCCAAGGCCCAGCCAAGACCGTCGGCCAACACCAGGAACCACGGCAGCATCGGCCGCTGCATTTTAATCCAGGGTCTCTCACTGCTGGTGACGTCAAGTTTAAGGTTCCTGGGAGGGTGGGTGGTCCGGTGGGGCTCAGGATGTCCTGGCCATGGTCCACCTCCCCGGGGACTGATGGGGGCGGTTACACCTCCCATGGGAGAATAAAACCCCCATCCCTGGAGTGCCAGCTAGGGGCTGCACCCAGTGGTCCCCTCTCAAGTGGCCTTGGGGTCCACAGTCGCGAGGGAGAGCAGATGTCCCTATGCTGGGAAGACATAGGGGAGACCCCGCCCTGCCTGCCGCCCGCAAGGCCGGGAGGGGGCTCTCAGAGCCGCCTGGGTCCACCTACCCGGCGCCACAGGACTTATCTTCAGGTCGTCAAGGCCAAAGAGCGAGCGGAAGGAGAAGGGGGCTTCGGTGGCCGGCGGGTCGTTCTCGCCCATGGTGACGATCTCAGGGCCTCTGAGCTCCAGCTCCGGCTCCGCCTCCTGCGCCCAGGAGGAACAGGCCACGTTTGTTCCCCGATCCCGGGGCTGGCATCAGGTGCAGATTGTAAACCTTTGAAATCCACCAGGCCACCCCCAAGCGCATTCAGCGCCCGCCAATCAGAAGCGCTCATCTGGTGGGAGCACGGCCCGCGACACAGGAGCTGCTGGGTCAGCGAAAGAATTCACGCGGAGCTCTGGCCGAACGGGGCCTTGCCACTGCCCCCGAGCCGGCCTGGAGGCCCGCGGATAGCGCGTTCAGAGAGAGGCCCTTGAACCAGGGTGCCGGATATTAGTCTAGGGAAGATAAGTCACCCCCAGAGCACCTTCCTGGCTGGTTTTAACCGGTGCCGCACAAGCTACGCCCTCCGTCCACGCACACATGCGGTCAAGCCTTGATGCCCACGTAACCTCTGCACCCCCAAAACACAGATGCCGCCGGGGGAGGGACGGCACCAGCGGCTCCCATAAGCCCAGCCCTGGCCCCGCTCACACAGGCCTGACCTAATTCAGGACCGAAGTGACCGAGCGTCAGGGCCAGTCCTCCTGACACAGACGAGGGAGGTGCTGCCGGGAGCCCCAAGGTTTCCCAGGGAGAATTGCACTCTTCCCTACGGCCCTGCCGAGGAGGGCGCGGGCCTCTGTCCCAGCTGAACAAGGAAAGCGGCGCCTGTCCCCAGTGAAATCCCGGCTCCCTCTCCCGGGCATCAGGCCCGGCTTCCGTGGGAGCCTCGGAAGCCCCAGCAGGCGCGTAAACCTGAGTGCTGGAAGCGTCCGTTTCTATCTCCTTTGTGTCTGAAGCTCCGGGGGAAATCGCCAAGCCGCCGACTACACACCTGCACAAAGCGTGCTGAGGTTCTAAGCAAACGTGGGTTCCGGCCCCACATGCGTGGCTTTGAGGAAAGTCAGAAAGCCCCAAGTCACGCTCAGCCAGTTTGGACATCCGCTTGCTATCACCAGGTGGCAAGTTACGTGGTTTAGCTAAGGAACGGAACAAGAGTGTTCTCTGGGCACTGGGGCGAGAGACTCCCCTCCCAGGCAGGCCATGGCTGGAGGCCGGCCCACAGGACAGCACCTGCTCCCGGCCAGCGCCCCCGGCCAGCGCCCCCAGCCAGCGCCGGCCCTCCCCAGGCCCACCGCACTCACCACGTCTGGAGCCGCCATCGTTCGAGGCAGGGACGAGCCCCTTTCTCATGATATAGGTGAGCGTGGTGGGCAGCAGGCCGCCCACGGGTCAGTCCGATCGGGCAGTATTTCCCCGAGTCACTCGGCCCCGTCGCCTTGGCCGTGGCAGCCAATGGCATCAGTGTAACCCAATCTGGACACGGCTATCAGGTGGCCCTGGTGTGCGGCTCCGGGGGCCGGGGAGGGACGAACGTGGCTTCCCTTTAATTAGTAAGCAAGGTACACGCCTTGCAGGAGCCGCCAGCCCCCGCTCTACGTAAAACACCGGGGAGGTGGGAGCCCGGCGAGTTCCGCAGCCCACTGGGCTCCCGGCAGGGTCCCAAGCACCCTCTGCACACAGAGCTCTTAAACCTTCCTGGAGGGCAGGGGCCCCTTGCTGCGGGGAAGGGGCCAGGAGCCTGCCGGGCTGGTGGGGACTCCACCGCTCTGGCTGAGTCGGGCGTCTGGGTGCCCGGGGGACAGCAGGGGGACAAAGGAGCAGTGTGGGCATGGTGGGGGAGGGGAGAAGCGCTAGGGAGGGGTCAGGCAGTGAGGGTGAGAGAGACGGACTCTGGGGACAAGTGACATCCTAGCCGAGCCCGCGGGGACGGCACACCGTGAGTCCTGGGCTCCCACCGCGGCCGCGGAGGCCCAGAGCAGAGGCCACACTGACGGTGTCTGGAGGGCCCCGGGAGGGCCCGTGTGCCTGGAGAGCAGCGAGGAGACACAGCAGCCGGGGTGCACAGGTTTATTTGTTTGAAAGGCAAAGTTACAGAGGTGGGGTCAGGGAGGACCTTCCATCTGCTGGTTCACTCCCCAAATGGCCACAACAGCTGGGGCTGGGTCAGGCGAAAGCCAGGAGCCTGGAGCTTCTTCCAGGTCTCCCACGTGGCTGCAGGGGCCCAAGGACTTGGGCCATCTTCCACTGCTCTCCCAGGCCACAGCAGAGAGCTGGATGGGAAGTGCAGCAGCCAAGACTCAAACTGGTGCCCGTATGGGAGGCCGGCACTGCAGACAGCGGCCTTACCCACTGCACCATGACGCCGGCCCCTGCTCCATTTCCAGGCAGTGTCAAGGCAGTGCTCCCCAGGAACCTGGTGCCACATTAACCCTCACCTCCCCAGACTTGTCCCAATGTCCCAGAGTGGCACCACCACCTGCTCTTCTGAGATCCCAGGCAAGCAGAAAACCAGCAACCCCAAAACTGGCAAATGGGGGACCATTTAAAGAGGAAAGACCCATCCAGAAGCAGACAGCCAATGCAGACCCCAGATACAAAGTTTACAAAGATTAGAAAGGAGGAGAAGAGCTGTCATTATTTGAATATTACATCATTATGGACACAGGAGATCCAAAAGAATCTACAAAATATTAGAATTATTAAGTGAATTTAGCAAGGTCATAGGCTGTGAGCTTGATAAATAAAATCAACTGCATTTCTTTCTTTCTTTCTTTCTTTCTTTTTTTTTTTTTTTTTTTTTGACAGGCAGAGTGGACAGTGAGAGACAGAGAGAGAGAGAGAGAAAGGTCTTCCTTTTCCATTGGTTCACCCCCCAGTGGCCGCTACAACCAGTGCACTGCGACCAGCGCACCACGATGACCTGAAGCCAGGAACCAGGTGCTTCCTCCTGGTCTCCCATGGGGTGCAGGGCCCAAGCACTTGGGCCATCCTCCACTGCACTCCCAGGCCACAGCAGAGAGCTGGCCTGGAAGAGGGGCAACCGGGACAGAATCCGGTGCCCCGACCAGGACTAGAACCCGGGGTGCCGGCGCTGCAGGCAGAGGATTATCCTACTGAGCCGTGGCGCCAGCCAACTGCATTTCTGTACATAACAATTAGAGATGAAATTATTTAAAATACCATTTACAGTAGCATCGAAAACATAAGTGAAAAACCTGCGAACACTGAAGCCTTACAGAGAGAAGCAGCATAGAGATATACCATGTTCATGGAGCGGAAGATCAAACATCGTTAAAATGCAGTCAGAAACTATTGAAGTCCACGCAGTCGCCTGATTTGTAAGAATGTTCTGCCACTCACTGGGCGTTCAATGGGAAAAAAAATCAAACTTCTTCCCACCTCACACCATACAGGTACTTAAAAAGTTGGTGGAAGGAGGGGTCAGCATTGTGGTGTTACTAATAAAGCCACTGCCTGTGGCAACAGCATCCCACACAGGCACTGGTTCACGTCCCAGCAGCTCCACTTCCAATCCAGCTCCCTGCTGATGCACCTGGGAAAGTAACAGAAGACGGCCCAAGTGCTTGGTTCCCTGCCACTCACCAGAAGACGGCCCAAGTGCTGGGTTCCCTGCCACTCACCTGGGCGACCTGTAGGAAGCTCCTGGCTCCTGACTTTGGCCTGGCCCAGTGATGGCCATTGCAACCATCTGGAGAGTGAACCAACAGATGGAAGATCTTTCTGTCTGTCCCTCTCTCCCCCTCTCTGTCTAAAACTCTTTCAAGTAAATAAATAAATCTTAAAAAAAAGTTGGTGGAAAATTTGAGTTAAAAGATAAATTTATTTTGTTCAAAAAAATTTTGAAATTCACTTGTAGTTTTTCATAATACACAATTCATGAAGTTTTTGAAGACCTTTCATACATAAAACTAACTCAAATGGATCACAGAGCTGGACAGGAACAGTAAAAGCAAGAGAGTTTCCAGAATGAAACACGAGAGACCATCTTCATCAGTGCTGCGTTAACGACGAGGTCTTCAGCAGGGGGCAGAACCGGAGCCCCCACCCGTCAGCAAGAAGCAGCGAGCAACCCAGCGAAAACGCGAGCAGGCACTCCCCAAGGTGCACCGCCACCGGGAGGCTCTGTCTTCCAGAGCAGGGCAGATTAGAACCACAGGGAGACCACTGCACCCCCTGGGCACAGCCGGAATGACACCACTGCACCCCCCGGGCACGGCCGGAATGGCACCACTGCACCCCCCGGGCACGGCCGGAATGGCACCACTGCACCCCCCGGGCACGGCCGGAATGACACCACTGCACCCCCCGGGCACGGCCGGAATGACACCACTGCACCCCCCGGGCACGGCCGGAATGACACCACTGCACCCCCCGGGGACGGCCGGAATGGCACCACTGCACCCCCCGGGCACGGCCGGAATGACACCACTGCTCCCCCCGGGGACGGCCGGAATGGCACCACTGCTCCCCCCGGGCACGGCCAGAATGACACCACTGCTCCCCCCGGGCACGGCCGGAATGGCACCACTGCACCCCCCGGGCACAGCTGGAATGAAGGGGGCTGAAACACCAAGCATGCACCAGGGCTGGGAGCCTGCACACCCGTCCCCAGTGCCGCGTGAGCCTGCGCTGGGCGGACAGAAGTGCACACCCATGTCCACCGGGACAGGGACGCCCTCGGCAGCACTCTTCCTGGTAGTCCAGCCACAGAAACCACCCAAATGCACACGGCCGAGAAGTGGACGACGGGAGGGCGGCGGGTTTGTCCCAGATGACACAGAGAGAGCCCAACTGCGTGAGCGTCACAGAGTCGGACAGAAGCATCCAGACCCGAGCAGGCACCTGCTCCGTGGTTCTGCCAACACAAGGCTCAGGAGCAGCCTCGGTGAACACACAGCGGGGACAGCGGCTGCTTTGTGGCAGGGAGGGGTGACGGGGGCTTGGCTGGGCAGGTGCCGTAGAGGCTCCAGGGAGGTGCTGGAGCCGGGGTCCTCCAACTTTGCTTTACTGATCTTTGTAAAGTCATTTATTTTTAATTTTTAAGATTTATTTATTCTACGTATTTGAAAGGCAGAGAGAGAGCTGTTCCGTCTACTTCCTGTTTCCGGGCTGGGCTGAGGCTGGGAGCTGGAAGAGACCCCACCCAGGTCTCCCACGTGGGTGGCAGGGACCCGAGTTGCTGAGCCATGCCCACTGCCCCCCAGGATGCAGAGTGGGGCCAGGGCTCAGACCTAGCCACTGGGATGTGGAGCCCAGCTGTGCCGAGCGGCGTCTTCCTGGCTGCCCCAGTCACCCACGCCAGTGTCACAGACGTCTGGGGCCGGATCACAGTCGTGCAGTCCCCGCCCCTCGAGCTGTGACATCTAAAATGTCCCCAGCTCGCACCTGCTGGCAGATCAGCGCCACTGCGGGCCCTGGGAGCTTGGGGTGAGCTCACTTCGCAGAGAGCCTGGGGCTGCGTGCGTGTGTGTTTGTCAGCCTTTCTGAATTCCTGTTAAACTGCAGGCTTGTACAGCCGACAAACCGTCACTGGATAACTGAGAGAGCCACCAAGTTTTAGAGCGGGAGGGACAATGGAAATGGGGTTGTCCCAGGGTGGTGGGGATTAAGTCCAGTGCCCACGGCGGACGCCCAGACCTGCAGCGCTCCAGCCCCTGATACTTGCATAAACGGTGTGTTCTGCGCACAGACCCGCGCACATCCCGCCGTGAGCTGGGAGTCACCTGTGCGCTCACGCTACGTAAAGCAGGCGAACGCTTTGTTAACGGTTGTTCTGCGCGGCAAGGGGCAAAGTCATCCTGCTCAGCACAGGCGCCCTCCTTCCATCTGAGCGGGTTGAGTTCTTGGACGCAGACCCCGTGGGGGTCGGGGGCTGAGGGCAGTGTGGCTGACGTCCCCTTGGCTAACGCCCAGACAGCTCCGTGGGGCTCGGGGGAGGCAGCGGGCGCAGGCGAGAGGCCCCAGCCCCGATGTCCTCTGCTCCCGCTTCCCTGGGCTCCCACGCATCCCTGCTCCCACTCCCGCGTCAGTGTGGGCGCCGGGCTCCCTCCAGGCCGTGGCTGGACTGCAGGGCCGGCCCCGCGGGGGGAGCAGGGCCGGTGGGCGCTGCACCTAGCAGTCTGCAGAATGATCCTGACGCCAGAGCTCATGCAAACAGGATATCGGTTTCTGTCAGAGAGATCACAAGCAGCTTGAGGTTTCTCTGCGGGCCTCAGCCTCCCCTCGCTCTCCTCCCTGGCTTTATCTGCTCGGCGCAGCGTGCCGGCTGCCGCGTGCGCGGCTGGCAGGAAGCGATGGCAGCAGGAGAGACGCAGCTCTACGCCAAGGTCTCCGGCAAGCTCAAGGGCCGCAGCAGCCCCTCGCTCCTGGACCCCCTCCTGGCCATGGGCTTCCCGGTACACACCGCGTGAGTACCGCCACCTGCAGGGCTGAGGCCCACCTCTGCGGCCCTCCGCCCCAGAGCGGCAGCCGCTCGGGCCCTGACTTCCTGTGCAAGCAGCCGCCCGGCAGAGCAAGATGGTGTCCCCCGCGGAGACCCCTCGTCCCTCTCTGGCTCTGAGAGGACGGCTCTGCAGGCTGCCCAACGGGGGGACTTGTGGACGGGCGAACGTTAGCAGCCGTGTGTGGCTCTGGGGCCTGGGGGCGCTGCGGGTGACATTTCCAGGTCTAGGGAGAGCCCTGGTCCTCAGGGAGACTTCTGAGTGCCCAATGATGAAACAGAACAGTTGAGGAACTACATAGGCTGGTCCAGTACCGCCTGCTGGTCCCCAAGGCCAAGGCCAAGGCCTGCTGTGGACAAGGGCGCCTCGGGGAGAAGTGATGAGCTATGGCTTCCCGAGTAAGCCGGCGTCACGTACCTGGCCTTGCTGTTGGACAAGCAGGGAAAATATGACAGAAATGCGCTGTGGGTAACCTTGGCTTTGAGAGGGGGCGAGACCTCCCGACCCCAGCTTCCTCCCTTCCCTGGGAGGCAGTACTGACGGCTCACGTGGCTGGGGTCCTGCCACTCACGGGGAAGCCTGGGGCGAGTTCCTGGGGCCTGGCTGTGGCCCCTTAGCTGCTGTAGTGTGGACCCAGACTCAAAACTCCACTCGCTTAGAAATGTGTTCTAAGTTTCTCACCTACACCTCCGTTCGAGACTGCACACCAGGCCTCTGCGGGCAGCCACGTCCTGTGGGTGTTCCCCAGATGGCAGCGTGGCCAGCACCGCAGTGTTCCTCACCGAGCCCACCCGTTTCCCCCTCTCCCGGGCTGGGCTCCCTCCGGTTCAGTCTACTCCAGCTCAGTTACGTTCAATGCAACGCGTCCACCTTTCTGGCCCAGGGGCAGTGAGCAAAGAGACCCCCGGGCTCCCACACAGCGTGACGAGCCCATGGCGGGGGTCCCTGCGGTGGGGGCTCCAGGGGCTGAGGATGCACCTGCCTTGGGCAGAGACATCACCCAGAGAAGGGGGCGTGACTGAGCCGAGCCTGGAGGGTGAGTGCCGATCTGCTGAGGGAGACCGGCACAGGGCTGTGTGTGTCAGGGTCCCAGCCGGGGCCCTGTCCCATCGAGGCCACCCCGGCGTCCACCAGGGCGGGTTTTCTTGGGTGCAGAGTGTGGGGGAGTGCAGGGGTCGGTGTCCAGAGCTTGGACCCAGTACCCAGGCTGGAGCTGCGATGACTCGGGGGAAGCCAGCAGGAGGATGGGAGCAGCCTCGGGGGAGGGTCCTGGAGGATGGGGGAGAGGTGCCTGGCGAGAGAGACCCCCGCCCGGGAGTCACGGGGGGCTCGGCCTGCTACGTCTGCTTCCGAAGGAGCGGAGGCCCAGCCCTGAGTCTGCTTCCTGCTGTGTCTCCAGGCTAAAAGCATTGGCAGCCACCGGGAGAAAGACGGCGGAGGAGGCCTGCAGCTGGTGAGTGGGGCCGCTGGGGGGCGTGGGCGGAGCTGGCCCGAGCCCATCGGAGCTGGCCTGAGCCTGTCGGACCTGGCTCTGCGGGGGTGGCCGGGAAGCGAGCCGACCTCCAGCCCCCGCTCCCAGCACACACCACACAGCCCCCATGAAATGGAAAAACGGAGACCTTGGGACATAAAATCTGATTTAATCGAACTCTGTCGACACCGGCAAGGACCTGCAGCTCCTTGGAGACGCCCGGAGCAGCTCTTGTCTGCCCACAGGGGTGGGGGTGGGCGCCCCGAGGCCTGGGCACCACGAGTGGGCTCCCTGAAACCCCGCCCCCAGGAGGGTGCCGTGGAGTCTGGTGGGACAGTCGTCCCGCTGTGACCTAGGACAGCCACAGCGAGCACCAAACGGTGACAACAGGGCCCGTGGGGCACAGGCAGGGGGATTGTGAGACTGCGAGCCCTGTGTTCTTAGGGAGGTGCCTCCCCCCAAAAAAACTCCAGGCCAAGGGCGGCACTTCAAAGCCCCCAGAGGGCTCTGGGAAGCCCCCAGCCCTGCAGGCTCCTGCACCCCTGAAACCTGTGGCCTGGAGCCACGCCCACCGCTGGGAGGGGCACAGCCCAGAGCTGCCAGTAAGGAGACAGATCCTGGGTCCCCCAGACTCAGCCAGAATGGGCCCCACTAGCCAGGGAGGCCCAAAATGACGCCACTGGCACAGAAGAGGTGTTTGGGGTAGCTGGGGTGGGGGCGGGGCCCGAACTTCGCTGGCAGCCCTGGGGGAGGCAGCGGTGCCTGTGGGTCCCGAGAACACGGTGGCCTCAGCACTCGGCAGATCCACCTCCCGGCATCCGCCGAGAGAAACTCGCAAGGCCTGGAAGAGGTGAGCCAGCCTTGGGGGACTTCCGTGTTTTTAGGATCTATTTATTGATTTGAAAGGCAGAGTTACAGAGAGAGAGGATGAAATAGAGAGAGCGAGGTCTTCCATCTGCTGGTTCACTCCCCAGACGGCTGCAACAGCCAGGGCTGGGCCGGGCTGAAGCCAGGAGCCAGCAGCTTCTCCCAGGTCTCCCACGTGGGTGCAGGGGCCAAGGACTCGGGCATCTTCCTCTGCTTTCCCAGGCACAGCAGGGAGCTGGATCGGAAGCCGAGCAGTGGGAGCTCAAAGCGGCTCACCAGGATGAGATGCCGGTGACGTGAACAGGGGTTAGCTGGCTGCACCGAAACTCCAGCACCAGCCCCACGTTTTGTGTTTTGTTTTGTTCTTTGCTTTTAAAAAATAATGTAAATGTCCATTCCAGTGGGAATGACAGTGCAATATTATGTAGGAGAAGACTTAACAAGTTTATGGAAAATGGAATTTCAAGATAAGCTTACTTTGGTGGGAAGAATTGTGAACCCCTGCGAAGAGGGCTTTCTAAGAAGTTCACAGAAGCGTGCAGTATGGAAAGTCGTGCATGGATTTCAAAGTGTTTGCACCAGAATAGATTCATCTCCCAACTCCATCTCCACGGGCTTTCTGAAGTGCCGTTGTGTGAAAGTAACGGGCTATGCTGCGGCCTTTGAAAGATCCACGCTGGGGCTGGCGCTGTGGTGTAGCAGGCAAAGCCACTGCCTGCAGTGCTGGCATCCCATATGGGCGCCAGTTCATGTCCCGGCTGCTCCACTTCCCATCCAGCCCTCTGCTGCGGCCTGGGAAAGCAGTGGAAGATGCCCAAGTGCTGGGACCCCTGCGTGTGTGTGGGAGACCTGGAAAAAGCTCCTGGCTCCTGGCTTTGGATCGACACAGCTCCGGCTTTTGCAGCCATCTGGGGAGTGAACCAGCAGATGGAAGACCTCTCTCTCTCTCTCTCTCTCTCTCTCCTCTCTCTGTGTAACTCTGACTTTCAAATAAAATAAACAAATTTAAAAAAGAAAAGATGCACGCTGACAAAGCTGAGCGGAGAGAAAGCTCAGGGGAACCGCAGATCCGCACTGAGGTCCAGGCGCACGAAGGCCGGACAGCAGTCGGCGGTTTGTGAGGCACACGGAGAGCTACCTACTGGCTTGTTACTTAAGTTTCTTTAAGATTTATTTTATTTATTGGAAAGACAAAGTTACAAAGTGGCGGGGGGGGGGGGGGGGGACAGAGACACACACACACAGAGATCTGCAATCTGCTGGTTCACTCACTGCTGGTTGCAACGGCCTGGGCTGAGCCAGGCCAAAGCCAGGAGCCTGGAACTCCTTCCTGGTGGGCGGGTGGCGCAGCACTTGGGCTGTCGCCCGCGGGTGAGTGGCACCACGTGGGCCGTCCTCCATGCTTTCCCAGGGGCATTAGCCTGCAGCTGGGTCAGAGGCGGAGCAGCCGGGACTCCACCTTGCACTGCTACGTGGCCGCCGGCGTCACAAGCCGCAGCCTAACCAGCGACACCACGACGTCGGACACCTTCCATCCTTTAGAAACACTGCTAGCTGGACAGGTGGGGAAGCTGTCTACACCGCTAGCTGGACGGGGGGGAAGCTGTCTACACCGCTAGCTGGACAGGTGGGGAAACTGTCTACACCGCTAGCTGGACAGGTGGGGAAGCTGTCTACACCGCTAGCTGGACAGGGGGGGGAAGCTGTCTACACCGCTAGCTGGACAGGGGGGGAAGCTGTCTACACCGCTAGCTGGACAGGTGGGGAAACTGTCTACACCGCTAGCTGGACAGGTGGGGAAGCTGTCTACACCGCTAGCTGGACAGGTGGGGAAGCTGTCTACACCACTAGCTGGACAGGGGGGGAAGCTGTCTACACCGCTAGCTGGACAGGGGGGGAAGCTGTCTACACCGCTAGCTGGACAGGTGGGGAAGCTGTCTACACCGCTAGCTGGACAGGTGGGGAAGCTGTCTACACCGCTAGCTGGACAGGTGGGGAAGCTGTGTCTACACTGCTAGCTGGACAGGTGGGGAAGCTGTCTACACCGCTAGCTGGACAGGTGGGGAAGCTGTCTACACTGCTAGCTGGACAGGGGGGAAGCTGTCTACACCGCTAGCTGGACAGGTGGGGAAGCTGTCTACACCGCTAGCTGGACAGGTGGGGAAGCTGTCTACACCGCTAGCTGGACGGGGGGGAAGCTGTCTACACTGCTAGCTGGACGGGGGGGAAGCTGTCTACACTGCTAGCTGGACGGGGGGGAAGCTGTGTCTCGTGGATGGTTCTGGTTCGTTTTTGTGACCAGTGGGAAGCAGCAGCTCCTGTGGGGTGTGTGTCGTTCTCCCTCGTATTCAAAATACCTTCCTGAATGGAAGGAAATGGAACAGCCACCTACACTTGGCCTAGTTTTTACAGTTTGGGCTTTTACATTTAATTTCAAGTTTGCGGTAAAACGAAGACATGAGTATTTTTCCACTAAATGTGTCAGCTCCAAGGCTTTGGCATCGGATAGGCACGGGCCTGAGTGCAGGTGCACAGGGACGGAGGCCACACACTGGCCCCGCTGGGTGCGGCTCAGCCAGGGCCGGCCGGACACTCGCTGCCGCCGCGCGTGCCCGTGACAGGCTCAGCACATCCCGCCACGCTGGGCAGGGGTCCTGGCAGCTGTTGGTGCTCGGGGCAGACTCCCGGTTGATGCCTGGTGTCTGTTGCAGGCTGCGCTGCCACTGTGACGACCCCTCGCTCGACGACCCCATTCCCCAGGAGTACGCCCTCTTCCTCTGCCCCACGGGGCCCCTGCTGGAGCGACTGCAGGACTTCTGGAAGGAGAGCAGGCGCCAGTGTGCCAGGAACAGGGCTCACGAGGTCTTCCCGCACGTGACCCTCTGCGACTTCTTCACGGTGAGCCGGCCCAGGGCGTCCCGGTGGTCCCTGGGCAACCAGGCCGTGGTATGGGGCTGGGCGTCCCAGCGGCCCCCGTGCAATGAGGCCAAAGCCGATTCGTCCTGTCGGGATGACCCAGACCTGCGGTGGGGGGGCCGCCTTTGCCGTCGCTCCCGCCTTCACCCACTGGCTCCTGCTCGTCCTCACACCCAACTCACAGCCCCTCCCCCCAGCACCCAGAGCTCACAGCCCCTCCCCCCAGCACCCAGAGCTCACGGCCCCTCCCCCCAGCACCCAGAGACCAGGGTGGGGGGCTGCCCTCCTGCTCCTCCTCACGCCCAGCTCACAGCCCCTCCCCCCAGCACCCAGAGACCAGGGTGGGGGGCTGCCCTCCTGCTCCTCCTCACGCCCAGCTCACAGCCCCTCCCCCCAGCACCCAGAGCTCACAGCCCCTCCTCCCAGCACCCAGAGCTCACGGCCCCTCCCCCCAGCACCCAGAGACCAGGGTGGGGGGTTCCCCCCACGCTCCCGCCTCCGTTCTGACTGCAGGACCCGCAGGTGCTCCACCCACCTGTGCCCCGAGACCAGCACAGGGCCTGAAGCAGGGCGGGGCTTCCTCCTGCCGAGGTGCCGGGACTGTGGCTGGCACAAACCCAGGGCTTGTCCCGGAGAGTGCGCAGGGGTTGTGGAGCAGAGCATACCCCACCGTGTGCTACACTACCCACTACGAGTCAGACTGCAGGCTCAGGGCAGGCCATCACTGGACTGGGTGCTGATGCTTGGTACTCCGGACGCTGCAGCAGACTACACACTCTTCCCTACGCCGCACTGTATGCTTTTACGGGGAGAATTTTGTGACCATCTGCCAATGTGCCCGTGCCTGTCTTCCGGCTGGGCTATGGTCTCCTTGCTTTTTACTCCTCCTTATTTGGTAGAACCGTTAATCCTTTCATCTAAATTCCGAATATGCTCTGTCACAAACATACCTAAAGCATCACACCCTAAAATAAAGGAGCCGGGGGTCTGGGGTGAGGCAGGGGCTGGCAGCTGCTTCCCTAAGCCCCGCCGGAGGGACCGGGAGAAGGCACAGCTGCCCTGCCCCGCGCTGGCCCGGCTGCGCTCTGCTGGCAGCAAACCAGCCGCTCCCCCAGGGCAGGAGCCCCAGCCCTGCCCAGCTCGGTGCTCGACACCGAGGGGAAACCCAGCCTTGGCAAGGAAAAGCTCCGCAGGCCCCCAGCCATCACCGTCTCTCCGGCCTGAGTCTGCAGGACCCCGGGGGACCCAGGGCTGATGACAAAGCCAGCAAAGCCCACTCCCCTGGGGCTCTGAGCCCCTCCGCCACCTCTGAGGCTGCCGGGAGCTTCCAACACCACGTCTGGCCACTGAGCAAAGCTGTGACCCGGGGGTGGGCAGGTGGGAGGGAGAGGCCTGGCCAGGGCGGGGGTGGGGGGCGCAGAGCAGGGTACAACACACAACAGTCACATGTCCATTGGCATCTCCAACGCGGGCGCCTCCAGGCGCTCTGTTCCTGGAAGCTCTCAGGATCCCAGTGCCAGGCGGGGGCAGAGGCAGGGCCTGGTGCACGGGGTCGGGGGAGGGGGTGCGTCCCTCCCCCCCGCTGCACGGCTTCTGTGGGAGACACTGAGCGGGGAGGAGACCCGGGCTCTGTCGCGTGCCCGCAGTGCGAAGACCAGAAGGTGGAGTGTCTGTACGAGGCCCTGAAGAAGGCGGGGGACCGGGCCCGCACCTCCTTCCCGCCCGCCTTGCCCCTGGCTCTCCACTCCTCCGGCAGCTACCTGGGCTTCTTCATCAGCGACGGCCCCGCCGACCTCATCCGCGAGTTCGCCATGGTGTTCGCCTCCGAGGCCTCCGTCTTGGCAGGTGGGCGGCGAGCCCGGGGCGGGGGGCTGCGCGGTCTCCAGCCGCTGGGGCTCCTCGGGTGGGACACCTTTTTGGGATATTTACAACCTGGTTCGTGGGTTGCACAAAGTTGCTTAAAAATGAGCCCTCTGGTGCTTTGTTGAATTTCGGGTTCCGCCCGTGGCTGCTTGGCAGAGCCAGGCCAAGCGATTTTGTGGCCTTGTACGGCCTCTGGTGGCCAGGCAATGCCCACCCCAGAGGTCAGCGTGGCTCCTGCTGTCCCGAGGCCACACGTCCAGTGGCGTCTCGCCTACTCCTCCGGGGTCTCCTTGGCCTCTTGAAACAGAGGTCATGCCTGCCAAGGGTGAGGGACCTGCGTGGGGTCCCTGGGCTGGGCTCAGCCTGTCCCCCGAAACTGAAGTCCACCAGGGGCCTCAGCTGGCTCCCTCGCGTGGGGCCCTGCCCGGGTAGGCAGCAAGGCTGGGTTTGGTTTGGGTGATCATCACTGTGCAGTGCCTGGTGCCCGAGGAGGCGGCCCTGTGGCAACCCAGGCAGACTGCAGTGAGGCAGCCATGCCGGGGGCTCCTGGGGCCACAGGAGCTGGGAGGGGCAGGAGAGGACCCTCAGAGGGTGCATGGCCCTGCCCACGCCTTGGCTTGGGAGATCTGGGCTTGGAGGCTGGGAGCATCTAAATCTCCCTTGACCGCTGCAGAAGCCCTAGGGAGCCGCTGCCCTCACCAGCCCTAGTGGAACCTGAACTTGAACCCTGCTCTCGTCCACGGCCTGGGTTTCACACTGACCGGCCCCACTTCCTGGGAGCGCCGGCTTTGACCTCACATCCATGTCCCTGCCCTGCCCTTCTCCAGCCCGTGCCCTCGGCCTGACCCTGAGCGGATTAGGAGGGGTCCCCTTGGGGACAAGCTGCCAGTCACGGCTCAGGTCGTCTTGGGTCCCCCTCGGGGCCAGGGTAAGACAAGGGCCCGTTCAGAAGCGGGTGAGTCACCGAGCCGGCGAGGCTGGTTCTCTCCCAGGTCACGCTCTCTCACCTGGCAAGCCCGTCCTCTCGCGCCTGCTGGAAATGTCACAGCGGGAATTCCCTGCCGACCACGCGGGCCTCGGGCTGCGGCCAAGCGGCTCAGGGGCTGCGACCCAGCAGCCCGCCCACCCACGGCGGGCAGGCATCGGGAGCCCCCAACCTCCTGCTGGCCTCCTTCCAGGGCATCAGACCCCGCGTGTCTGCAAGGGACTTGCGTGGCCAGGCCCCCGGTCACAACTGCCGAGAGAACTCTGGAACGGGCAGCTGGCCAGGCCCCGGTGCTCGGCCATGGTCCCCCTGCCCACAGGGGCCGAACGAGGCGTCAGTCTGGTCCCCTGGGTGGTCGAGCCAGAGCAGCCTCCGCGAAGGCACCGACTGCCTCCCCCAGGGTAAAGCTGCTGACCCCAGGCCCAGGCTGCCCCCCGACCTGCAGGGAGCAGCTGGCTGGGCTCAGCGGCCCCAGGCTTCCTGCTTAACCAAAGCGAGGTGTCCATCAGAGGTGCTGGGTGCTCTCCGGGGACTCCACGGCCAACCATAAACTGTGGGATGGGAGCTCAGCCAGGGGTCCGGCCGCCAAGTCGTGTACACAGCCTGGGGTGGAGAAGCTTCCTGCTTTGCCCGTCCTAATCCTTTCTTTGGACAACTCACTGGCAAACGGTTGGGCCCGAGACCCTGACCAAAGCTCCACGCCTCCTCTTTCCTGCGTCTGGAGAAGCCTGCAGGATCCAGGCGTCGCCATGTGTGACCCCAAGATGCCGCAGACATCCAAGCGAGCTCACAGGGAGAGTGGGGCGGGGCGGGGCGGGTGGGGAAGGAGGTGCTGCCTCGCGGGGCTGAGGGGTCCCAGGCGAGCGGCCCTGGCTGTCTAGGAGAGGGCGCCCCTCACGCCTGTGCGCCCCTCACCCCACAGACTGCACCGTGAAGCCCTGCACCAAGCAGCTGCACCTGACCCTGGCTCACAAGTTCTACCCCCACCACCAGAGGACGCTGGAGCAGCTGGCCAGAGCCATCCCCCCGGACCCCAGCTGCCAGTGGACGGCGGCGCTCTACTCGCGAGACATGCGCTTCGTGCATTACCAGGTGGGACGTGGGCCCCGTGTGTGTGCTGCACTGGCCCAGGTGGGACGTGGGCCCATGCATGCGGCTCTGTCAGCCCAGATGGGGACGCGGGCCCCGTGTGTGTGGCTGTGCCGGCCCAGGTGGGGACGTGGGCCCATGTGTGTGGCTGTGCCGGCCCAGGTGGGGACGTGGGCCCGTGTGTACGGCTCCGTCAGCCCAGGTGGGGACGTGGGCCCATGTGTGCGGCTCCGTCAGCCCAGGTGGGGACGTGGGCCCATGTGTGTGGCTGTGCCGGCCCAGGTGGGGACGTGGGCCCGTGTGTACGGCTCCGTCAGCCCAGGTGGGGACGTGGGCCCGTGTGTGTGGCTCCATCAGCCCAGGTGGGGACATGGGCCCATGTGTACGGCTCCGTCAGCCCAGGTGGGGACGTGGGCCCGTGCATGCGGCTCCGTCAGCCCAGGTGGGACGTGAGCCCGTGTGTGTGGCTCCGTCAGCCCAGGTGGGACGTGAGCCCGTGTGTGTGCTGCACTGGCCCTGGTGGGATGTGGGCCCCGTGTGTGCGGCTCCGTCAGCTCTCACCATGGGAGGCGAGTAAGCGCACAGCCACCCCGACGGCACTGCCCTGGGCCCCCACGGGAGACGTTTGGGTAGAAGACAGGAGCTCTCTCTCTACAAGCATGACGTCCTCATGCAACTGCAAGTCAGCATCTCACACACACACACCACACACACGAGCCACAGGTGCACGGAGATCCCAGGACAAAGGGGGCACTTCCGGTTCAGAAAGCCCACTGGTGACGGAACCGAGCCGCGTGGTGGTGGGGTGCGTCTCCAGGACTTCTGCCCTGCGAACCGAGTGGCTGAGAAAGGAACCACATGGACCAGGGACTAGGACCGGAGAATCCACCATGCCCTGTGCACGGGAGAGCTGAGGGAGCCTGTTTAAAAAAATGTTTTTTGGCTGGCGCCGTGGCTCCCTAGGCTAATCCTCCGCCTTGCGGCGCCGGCACACCGGGTTCTAGTCCCGGTCGGGGCACCGGATTCTGTCCCGGTTGCCCCTCTTCCAGGCCAGCTCTCTGCTGTGGCCCGGGAGTACAGTGGAGGATGGCCCAGGTGCTTGGGCCCTGCACCTCATGGGAGACCAGGAGAAGCACCGGACTCCTGGCTTTGGAGCAGCACAGTGCACCGGCTGTGGCGGCCATTTGTGGGGTGAACCAACGGAAGGAAGACCTTTCTCTCTGTCTCTCTCTCTCACTATCCACTCTGCCTGTCACAAAAAATGTTAATTTATTTGTTTGAAAGGCAGAGTCAGAGAGAGCGAGCGAGCGAGAGCCCCTCCATCTGCTGGTTCTCTCCCTACATGGCACTGACAGCCAGGGCTGGGCCGGGCGGAAGCCAGGAGCTCGGGCTCCACCCAGACTCCCGCGTGGGTGGCCGGGGCTGGGCCGTCATCCATGCTTCCCAGATGCGTTAGCCGGGGGCTGGATGGGAAGTCAGCAGCTGGGAATTCAACCAGCGCTCACACGGCTGCGGGCAGTGCAGGTGGCGGCTTAACCGGCTGGGCCACCACGCCAGCCCCTGTGGACCTGTGGACGTGAACGCGCGTGAATGCCTGGTTACCCGAGCAGAGCCTTCATGTAAGAAACGGCCAAGTGCGTGGACGCAGGGCGCGGGACGCACAGCGAGCAGGCGCGGGGGTCTTCAGTATTCCTGAGAAATACGTGTGGCGAGGAAAGCGCGTGGTCATTTCGCACCAGAATCACCATCTTTTTGTACCATTTATTCACAAACTTTTTTTAAAAAGATTTTATTTATTTATTTCGGGGGCGGAGTTACAGACCGGGAGGGAGAGACAGAGAGAAACTCCCTAAATGGCCACAACGGCCGGAGCTGGGCCGATCTGGACCAGGAGCCAGGAGCTCCATCCGGGTCTCCCCCGTGGGTGCAGGGGCCCAGCTCCCAGGCCGTCTCCCACTGCCTTCCCAGGCCATTAGCAGGGATTGGGTCTGAAGTAGAGCAGCCAGGACTTGAACCAGCGCCCATATGGGATGCTGGCACCACAGGTGGAAGCTTAGCCTACGACGTCACAGCACTGGCCCCTTTTTCACAAACTTTTAAAAAAGATTTATTTATTTATTTGAAAGACAGAGTTTCAGAGAGGCAGAGAGAGAGAGGTCTTCCATCCACTGGTTCACTCCCCAGATGGCTGCAACGGCTGGAGCTGGGCTGATCCAAAGCCAGGAGCCAGGAGCTTCTTCCGGGTCTCCCACGTGGGTGCAGGGACCCAAGCACGTGGGCCATCTTCCACTGCTTTCCCAGGCCACAGCAGAGAGCTGGATCGGAACAGGAGCAGCCGGGACTCGAACCTGCGTCCATATGAGATGCAGGCCACAGCTTTACCTGCTACGCCACAGGGCTGGCTCCTTCTCACAGACTTCTCAAAGTGCCCTCATAGATACCAAAACTTATTTTTGAGTCTCCCCGGAGAGTTCCATGCCATCATCTCTGTCACGTGTCACTAGACAAAGGCACGCGTGGGGTCTCGGGGACCCCGGCCGAGCCCCGATGCCGGCCCCGAGCCGGCCTCCTGCCACGGAGGGCCCCACAGAGGCCCCGGCTCCAGACGTGAGCGCAGTCTCCACTTTCCAGACCCTGAGGGCGCTGTTCCGGTACGAACCGCAGAACGAGGACGAGCTGGCGCTCAGCCCCGGCGACTACATCTTCGTGGACCCCACGCAGCAGGAGGAGGCCAGCGAGGGCTGGGCCGTGGGGACGTCGCAGCGGACCGGCTGCCGCGGCTTCCTGCCGCAGAACTACACGGAGAGGGCCAGCGAGGCCGACACCTGGGTGAAGCACAGGTGAGCGCCGCCCCGCCCCCGGCCCCGCCCTCCCTGAGCCCCGGTCTGGCGGGGGCCACAGCGGCCACGCGCCCCAGACGCCCCGTCACTCACACAGCTGCCTTCTGGGTCCTAGGAACCCAGGGGCTTCCTCGATGGGTCTGAGGCTTCTGCCGATGGTGTTTAGAAAAAGCGAATGATTCCATGTTTACTGCCTAAGGCAGTCACCCCCACCCCCACGTCACTGCACAACCGCCGGCTCGTCCATCCCTCTGCCTGGCGTGTGAGCAGCGAAGCCCGGTGCACTGTGGGTTTTCTGTTGCCGTGGACAACTGACCACACGTGCAGCAGCTGAATCAGTCGGGACCCTTTCTCAGAGTGCTTGCGGGTCCGCAGCCAGGACGGGTTGAGCCGGTCCCCGGCTCAGGACCGCACGAGCCGTGACCGAGCTGTCGGCCGGGGCCAGGGTCTCACCTGTGGTGGTGGAAGTCATTCCTGGGAGCTGCCGATCCCTGGGGCGTCCTGCCCGGCCAGGGTCTCTCAGCCCGGCGCCTTTGGCATCAGCAGGGTTAAGTTTGGTCCCACAAGGAGGAAGAACCCAGGCGAGACTTGGTTGCTATGAGTAGAAGTATCCGTGGCTGCGTCACCAGCCTCACCACTTACAAGTTCCACCTCCTGGGGCTGGCGCTGTGGCTCACTTGGTTAATCCTCCGCCTGTGGCGCCGGAATCCCATATGGGCGCCGGTTCTAGTCCCGGCTGCTCCTCTTCCAGGCCAGCTCTCTGCTGTGGCCAGGGAGGGCAGTGGAGGATGGCCCAAGTGCTTGGGCCCTGCACCCTCATGGGAGACCAGGAGAAGCACCTGGCTCCTGGCTTTCAATCGGCACAGCACTGGCCATGGCGGCCATTTGGAGAGTAAACCAACGGAAGGAAGCCCTTTCTCTCTGTCTCTGTCTCTCACTGTCTAACTCTACCTGTCAAAAAAAAAAAAAAAAAGTTCCACTTCCCATGCCCACTCCCCGTCACTACATAATAAGGAACCCTTCCTCCAGTTTTTATATTTATTTTATTTATTTGAGAGACAGACACAGAGAGAGAGAGAGAGAGAGAGAGAGAGAGAGAATCTTCCATCCACCGGCTCACTCCCCAAATGGCCACAATGGTCAGCGCTGGGCCAGGCTGAAGCCAGGAGCCAGGAACTTCCTGCGGGTCTCCCACTGGGTGCAGGGGCCCGAGCACTTGGCCCATCTTCCGCTGCTTTCCCAGGTGCACTAACAGGGAGCTGGATGGGAAGTGGAGCAGTAGGACTTGAACCGGCGCCCATGTGGGACGCCAGGGTTGCAGATGGTGGCTTAACCAGCTGTGGCCTCCTCCAGCTTTCTGTAGCACGGGGCCCCTGCTTTCCGAGTGGCCCTGGCAGCACCTCCGACGTGCAGACTGCGCACGCTCACTGGGGTCCGCTCGGCCATGCTGCGTACATTCCTAGCCCCCCACTCCCGATACCGAAGTTAGTGTTGGCGAGGCTCTAGCCAGAGAGAAAGAACCAGAGTTCCACGCAGCTGTAAGGTTAATCCTCGGAAATATTTCACGTGTGTGTAAGATATTTTCTATCGCATGACACACAGCACACAACGAGTCTTTGGAAAATGCGTATTAGGGGAAAACTGCGTGGATTTCGAAGTCCTTTGCAGCAAAATGAATTTATCTCGTTCCATTGCTCATGCGCCTTTTGAAAACGGGGCTTTGCTACGACCGCTGTACATGTGACTTGTGCGGGTTCATGTCAGGGACTGTCTTGGCCGTTGTTGAGGTCCGCAGCCGGGCGCTCAGGTGGAGAGAGTCCCCCACAGGCTGGGGCGCGCTGTCCCCGTGGAGCCGATGAGGACAAACACCAGAGGTGGGACCTGCAGACAGGGCTCTGGGAGTCTGAGCTCAGGGAGTGCCTCCACCTTCCGGCAGTGACTCCTTCCTGGGCGCCGCTGCACCCTCGATGCCGGCCGAGCCGCTCCGTCCACATCAGAGGGCCGGCTCTGATGCTCCAGACCTGACTCGGCTTCCTACTACGCGGGCGCTGGGGGGCAGCGCTGACAGCTCAGGTCGTGGGGTTCCTGCCCCCACTCGGGACCCTGGACTGAGTTCCCAGCCCACCCCCTCCACTGCAGGCGTCTGGGAGTGGACCAGCAGAGGGGAGCACTTTCTCTCTGTCTCTCAAATAAATGTATAAATAAAATTAAGATGGCTCCCAACGGAGCCTCTGAGGCCCACTCGGGGAGTCCAGGGGATTCCCTGGAATCCAGTAGATCAGGGTGACAGGTCTCTGAGCCCCTCCCGCAGCGCCCACTTGCATTGCGCTGGACCTGGGAGAAGCCCAGTGCGACCCCAGGCCGCTGGCCCGGCTCCCTCTGCCCTCCGGCTCTCACGAGAGGCCCTGGTAGCCTGCCCTCATCAGAAACTTCTAGAAGGGGAGTTCTGGGGACCGTCGTTCAGCCTGGCCTCGATGACACAGGCGAAGCCACCCCAAGGTGCTAGTGCCGTTCTCCTGTGGGCGTTGGCACCTCCTCCCAGGTCTCAGCCAGGAGGGTGGGGGTGACCGCAGGACGACAGCAGGGCGGGGCATCCCCACAGCGGAGAGTGGGCGGGGCGGGGAACACACCCAGAAAAGCCCTTTGTTGTGGGCCAAGACTTCCTGGCGCCCTGGGAGCTGACACGGGCACGGCCGTGCCTCCGTCCCCAGGAAGGAGGCCCGAAAACTGTTCACTCATGGACTTGACCTGGGCTTGTCAACTAACCCACCAGTCACCCGTCCCCAGGCGGCCCCTCCCGCCCCGGCCCTTGTCTTTCACCCAGAAGATCAGGAACCACGTGGGGGCTGTGGGTGGCGGGAGCCTACTCAGCAACGGCGGCGGCTTCCCAGGCTCTGGGCAGGAAGCAGGTGCTGGGAGGTTGCAGAACTAAGGGTGCGAGTGTGGGAGCCCAGAGGACCGGTCACCTTCCAGCCAGGTCGGGGACGCGGCCGTCACTGCGGGCGCACCTGTCAACGGACGCTTCAGCAGCCACACGGCAAGTGGGTGACAAGGCTGAGCGACATCCCCTGAAGCCCCGGCCCCCACCAGCCGCACGTGTGTGGAGTGGGGTCTCTCGCAGGACCTGATGCCCTGTGAGTGTCGTCCTAGGAAGACAAGGGGCACACAGAGGGCCGGCCGCCACGTGCAGCCCTGCCCAGCCCTGACCTCGCACCCCAGCCTCCAGGGCCGTGAGGCCCCGTGCCTCCGTGGAAGCCCCAGCCTGTGCCCCGGGACACCTTGCAGAGCCCTGGAGAACCGAGTCACACGTCTGCCTGGGGTGTCATCAAAGAGGAAGACAGAAAGTTCCAGAAGCCGGCTCTCTCCTTTCTCCTCCCGTGGCCGACGTTCCCCAGGTTCCCCGTCGCGTCTCGCCAGAAAGCTGGGCGTTCTCTCTGCCCACAGGCTGCTCAGGCTGCCGTGCACGGCAAAGCTCCATGTCGGCCCAGGGAGCAGGGCGGGGCGGGGCGGGCGCCCACCTGCCCTTTGGAGGAGGAAGGAACCAGGAGGTGGGGCTGTGCCCGGGTGCCCGGATGGGCTCGTGTGAAGGACTCGAGGCTGGGCTGCGGCCACCCGTGCCCTCCGCCTGCTCAGGACACGCCGGAGCTCGCGTCTCCCTTCCCTGCGCCTGGCCGTGGGGGAGGCACGACCCCCAGGAATCGCCTTGGCCGGGACCCTGCCACAGCCTGCAGGTGAAGACAAGACCGCACAGTGACGCGGGACGACAGCCACGGCCTCCAGGCAGCTCAGGGACTGAGCAAACTCAATCAAAACACCACCGGCGAGGAGGTCCAGGACCTTGACCGTGGGGTGCGAGGCCGGCGGCCGAGGCTGTGACCCGGACACCTCTCCTGGCTTGGGAGAGGGCTCAGAGCGGGAGCCCGGGGAGCAGCTGATGTTGTGTGGCACCGGGGGCCTCGGGGCTCCGAGGAAGAGGATGCCAGCATTACAGCCGGTGCAGCAGGTGGAACGCGTGCCACGCTCCTGCCTGGGAAAGATGAACCGGGAAACGTGCCGATTCCCCCGGAGTCACCCCCAGGCGAGACCCAGTGGCATCGGTCGTCTCAACGTCACGGGACACTCAAGCAGTGTAAGCAGGAGAGAAGACGTTGGGGAGCTTTGCCCACCAGACGTGAGCAACCCCTCGAAAGTCTGCCGGGGCCTGGCCAGAGGGCACGAGAAAGCTGCGGGCGGCCGTCCTCTTCCTCCACTGAAATCCGCTCACGGCAGAATCTAGAGTTCCACGGGAACCGTGGGAGGGAGCCGTGCTCCAGAGAGAAGCCGTCTCCCTCCTCCCCGCCTCCAGCCCCCAGGACAGGGGACGCGGGAGCCCGGGGGGTCGGAGCCACAGAGGAAGTCACAGAGCGCGATCGCAGCAGGGCTCCCCGAAGGATGCGTGAGAATGGCCCCTCCCGCCAAGTGGCCGCCTGCCTCCCTGGCCCTCCACGCAGGCCCACGGCACCCACACGGCGTCACTGCACCCTTCGGTAAAAAGGGATCTGCGACAGCTTCGCAGGAAACGCCTGCGTCTTTTAAGTCCATTTCCCACAGACTTTCAGAAGGACCCTCATTCACAATTGCAGGAAAAACACCTGGGGCCAGTGCATAGCGGTAAAGCCACTGCCTGCAGTGCCGGCATCCCATGTGGCCGCCGGTTCGAGTCCCGGCTGCTCCACTTCCGATCCGGCTCCCTGCTAATGCACCTGGGAAAGCAGTGGAAGATGACCCAAGTGCTTGGGCCCCTGCGCCCGCGTGGGAGACCTGGAAGAAGCTCCTGGCTCCTGGCTTCAGATCAGCCCAGCTCTGGCTGTTGCAGCCATTAGGGGAGTGAACCAGTGGATGGAAGACCTCTCTGTCTCTCTCCTCTCTCTCTCTCTCTCTCTCTCTCTCTCTCACTCTCTCTCTCTAACTCTGCCTTTCAAATAAATAAATAAATCTTTTTCAAAAGAAGAAGAAAAACACTGAGACTCTCAGAGAAAAACCCCGCGTGTGAGGAATGAGCAGAGGCGGAGCTGAGAGAACAGCGCGCGGGACGAGGGCCCCTCCCCCGTCTGGGATGAGAACAGCGCTGATGCTTCTGAGCTTAAAAACGCCCCCCCCGCCCCCCCCCCCCCCGCCCCGGCGAGGCATCGTGCGTCAGGTGCTTGCCGACAAAGCAGGCGGCACTGAAGCTCTCCACGAGGCAACCGGGCAAGACGCTCCAAGCACCTCAGCCGGAGCCCCCCGCCCTGTGGGCTCGGGACCCTGTGCTGCAGAGGAGGGCGTCGGGGTTCGGGTGCAGAGGGCGCCGAGACGAGCACACGCGGGACCCCCCCTGGAGAAGAGGAGTGTGGAGTTTGCACGCGCACAGCGGCGGCGGCGGCAGAGCACGGGAGGAGTTTTGGGAAGACAGGAGCAGCCCACAGTCCGGCCGCCAGGGAGATGGTCGTTCCGCTGATGAGATGCACAGACGTTAGACACTATACCCTCATGCAAATATAGCCAAGGCACTCTTTCTTTAAAATGTTCATTTGTTTATTTGAGAGACAGAGCTACAGAGAGGCAGAGGCAGACAGAGAGAGAAAGAGAGAGAGAGAGAGAGAGAGAGAGAGAGAGAGGTCTTCGACCCGCCGGTTCACTCCCCAGATGGCCAAGTGCAGCGGGGCTGTCGTCTGGCTCCTGCTTCTGGGCGGAGGGGTGACAGCGGGTTCCCGTGGCGCCGCAGCCCGAGCCCCCCGGTTTTGACTTCTGGCCCGGGTTTCCGGGCCCCAAATAGCACTGATGTCTCAAATAGCATCGGAGCCACCGTCTAGGAGCAGTGGCCTCGCCGCCTGGACATGAAAGCGCCCATGGCAGGTGGCGACGAGGATCCCGAAACATTGTCCTCAGGGGCTGGTGTGGTGGCACAGTGGGTTAAGCCACCGTATGAGAAGCCGGCATCCCGTATGAGCGCCGGTTCAAGTCCCAGGGCTCTGCTTCGGAGCCAGCTCCCTGCTAGTGCCTGGGAGAGCAGAGGAAGACGGCCCAGGTGCTTGGACTCCTGTAACCACGTGGGAGACCCGGATGAATTCTGGGTTCCTGGCTCAGCCCTGGCCATTGCAGCCTCTTGGGGAGTGAACCAGTGGATAGAAGATTCCTTCTCTCTCTCTCTCTCTCTCTCTCTCTCTCTCTCTCTCTCTCTGACTTTCAAGTGAATAAATGAGTCTTTTACAAACCAGAGCATCGTTCTCATGGGCTGTGTGCCCGCAGTTCCACACCACCCTCTCTGTGTCCAGCTCAGGGCGTTCTCAAGCGCGTCCAGGACTGGACGCCATGTCTCCATGGCAACCACAAGACGCTGCCTCTGTTTGCAGGACCTACACCTTCAGCCTGGCCGTGGAGCTGAGCTCCAGGAAGGACGGTGAAGCCAGCGGCCGGCAAGGCGGGGAGTTTGCCGCTGCACAGCCAGCTCGGAGCGTTGGCACCTTACAGACCCTGCAGGTAACACAGCAGCCCACTCCCCAGTTTGTATCTGCCTTGTAAGATATGCAGAGCAACAGAGAGAGAGAGATCGTCCATCTGCCAACTCGCTCCCCGAATGGCTGCAGCAGCTGGGGCTGGACCAGACCGAACCAGGAGCCAGGAACTCTATCCGGGCTGGATCTTCCATGTGGGTGGCAGGGGCCATCACCTGCTCCCCCCCCCAGGCTTATTAGCAGGAAGTTGGGTCAGAAGCAGAGCAGACGGGATCAGAACTGACAATCGGCCGGCGCCACGGCTCACTAGGCTAATCCTCCGCCTGTGATGCCGGCACCCCGGGTTCTAGTCCCAGTTGGGGCACCAGATTCTGTCCCGGTTGCCCCTCTTCCAGGCCATCTCTCTGCTGTGGCCAGGGAGTGCAGTGGAGGATGGCCCAAGTGCTTGGGCCCTGCACCCCATGGGAGACCAGGAGAAGCACCTGGCTCCTGCCTTCGGATCAGCGCAGCGCCAGCCGTAGCGGCCATTGTGGGGTGAACCAATGGAAAGAAGACCTTTCTCTCTGTCTCTCTCTCTCTCACTGTCTAACTCTTCCTGTCAAAAAAAAAAAAAAAAAAAAAAAAAAACTGGCATCCCAAACCGCAGCTGAACCCAGTGCTCCACCATGCCCTCCCCGGGGCGGGGTGGGGGGAGAACTCCTGTCAGTTCATTCCCCAAACGCCAGCAACAGGCAGGGCTGGGCCAGGACGTGATCCGGGTCTCCGACGCTGCAGGAGCACCGAGCACCGTCGGGGCCCCCAGGCCGCAGGGGTCCAGCTTGCCTTGTGCGGCTCGCTGCACAGGGCCGGGCGGGGGCTGGCGGGAGCAGCCTCTGGAGTGGCCCCAGGAACTCCTGCAAAGCGGGCGGCCTGTGCCCCCAGCCCCTGCCACTTCCCAAGGAACAGAGACACCTGCTGGAGGAAGTGGCCAATGGCACAAGGCCTTGGGCAGGTGCAGGGGCCACACGTGCTGGCTCCTGCGATGCCCTCCCCACCCTGTCCATCCTGGCTCCCAGCAGCCCCCACTGACCTCCCGTGGAGGACTCCGACTACTGTGCCCCCACCCTCCCCATGACACAGCGTCCCTTGCTTGTCCCTTCGCCCCAGGGAGGTCTGCACCAGCCTAGGGACCACGGCAGGCACTGCAGCTCCGTGTCCCAGTGCCTAACACAGCCCCTCTCGGTGTCACGGGGGCCTGGTGGCCGGAACCCTGAATCGAGGGCCTGCGCTGAGGCTGGGGTGGGGCGGAGTCACCATGCCACCCCTGGACGCTGAGCGGCTCGGGCCTCGCTTCCCTCCCCGCAGGCCGCCCTGGCGAGGAGACGCGTGCTGGTGGTGCGCCACGGGGAGCGAGTGGACCAGGTCTTCGGGAAGTCATGGCTGCAGCAGTGTTGCACCCCGGACGGTAGGTGGCGTCCAGGCGAAGCTCCAGACAGCAGTGCCCCGGCCTTTTAACACCAGAGATCCCCTCTGTGGTGCCCGACCCCGGGGCCCATCGTCTATGACGACGATGACCACAGTGCCACGTGGGGTGCAGGCTGGGGTGCACCTGCACGTGCAGGACGTCTGTGCAGTGGGCGCAGGGAGCCAGCGAGTGCACGTGGAGCCACGACACCTTAGCAACCACAGCGGTGCCGCCCCTGAACCCCCCAGCTGCCACACGGCCCCCGGCCCCTGTCGCCTCTCTGGGTCTCTCCCAGCTAATCCTGACTGCCACTGCCACGTCCCCACGACACCTGCTACGTAGCTTGACAGGCACACAGGGTTCTTGTTCTCAGCTCTGCGCTCCCGACTGCCAGGGACTGAGGACCGTGCGGTGGACACAGGGTGGACCCTGTACGGGTGACCCATGCCCCTGGCAATGCTCACTCCAAAGGAAAGCCCTGAGTTACGCCACCAAGCCGCGGCTGACTGCATAAATTAAGGGATCGCCCCAGAGAGACAGAGTCCGTTCACAAGGGCGGGACTGGCCCAGAGGAGGGGCCGTGGGTGAACCAGGGTGGGGGCTCTGAGCTGTCACCAAGGGCTCGCAGGGCCCAGAACATGGCTGCCCCTAGGAAGTAAGGCCTAAGGGAGACAGAACCAGACAGCAGGGGGCAGTGACACTCAGACACGGGGAGCCGGCTCAGCTGCCCTGTGCTGCAGAAGCCGACGCCTGGGCCACCTGGTGGCCGTGAGCCAAGCAGAGCGGGCTGGCGGCACCATCTGGCGAACAGAGCAGCCCACCTCCCGCTGACCCTGTGCTCAGCACTGGGCTCTGGGCACTAGCTCCCTGGCCCTCCACGTCCTCACTTTTCCAACCAGAGAGGTTAGGTCACCTGCTTCTAGACAGCACACAGAGCAGCTAGGGTTGGGGTCTGCCGGCCCGAGGTCCAGCACAGGAGCCCCACGCAGCCTCCGGGCACCCCCAGGCCGAGCAGCCTGTGGCTCTGGGCAGCCCCGGGGGTGGGGTCCAGTTTCACCCGATTAACTGAGGTCAACTTGAGATGACTGTCCAGGTAAGCCACGTCCATCGTGGACACTCACAGGAAAAGTGGGGGCACCTCTGCAGAAGCCGGGGGAGCACCGAGGGGCCGGAGCTCTGTCTGTCCCGGGACAGAACCCACGTCTGAGCACCCAGGCCCCAGAAAGCGACGCGGTGACCTTGCTCGCCACGGGGGTGCGGCCTGGGGTGCTGTGGGGCAAGTCCGCCCTGCGCAAGGACCCGGGGCCGCTGACACTCCTCTGTGCCCTAGGGAGGTACCACCGGCCCGACCTGAACTTTCCCGGCAGCCTGCCCCGGCGCAGCAGCGGCCTCAAGGCCTTCGAGAACGACCCGCCGCTGTCCTCCTGCGGGGTCTTCCAGGCCAGAATGGCAGGTAGGGGGTAACGGCCCTAGCAACTGGGCCCAGCTGCACGGAGGGAGCCCCTGCCGCCTGCCCTGGGCGTCAGTGTCAGCGTCAGCCTCACTCCCAGCCTAGGAGGAGGAGGAAGCCCGGCGGGGAGGGCCAGGTCTCACGCACAGTCACCGAGCGGGGAGGAGCGTGTCCCACCCAGCACCGGGCAGTGTGGGGAGCCAGGAGGAACGGAGGACGGGCAAGCGAGGGAGGAAAAATCAACCCCGCCAGGCGCCGAGGAGGTGGCTCAGGTTAACAGCCCCGTCCCTCGCCGGCGTTGTTTCCAATTCTGTCACGCTGGGCCCTGCTTTCTGGCTGGGGGTTCTGCTGTGTTCCACTCCACTGTTGGCTCAGAGAGACCCCTGAGCGTGTCTGGACTTCGTTGTGTGGATTCGGAAACTTGAATCACAGAGGCCAGTGGGCATCCCTGGCCACGCAGCTGCTCCCTGCAGGGAGCCCAGGGGCCGGCTGTCCTGCTGTCCACCCAGGGGCCGGCTGTCCTGCTGCCCACCCAGGGCCGGCTGTCCTGCTGTCCACCCAGGGCTGGCTGTCCTGCTGCCCACCCAGGGCCGGCTGTCCTGCTGCCCACCCAGGGCCCGGCTGTCCTGCTGTCCACTCAGGGCCGGCTGTCCTGCTGCCCACCCAGGGCCCAGCTGTCCTGCTGTCCACCCAGGGCCGGCTGTCCTGCTGTCCACCCAGGGCCGGCTGTCCTGCTGCCCACCCAGGGCCCATCCGGCTGGGTTGCCCTGCTCGCTGGCCCCAGTGTGGAGCGTTGGTTGATCTCCGAGTGAGAGTGCCGTCCTCACACCACGGCTGATCTCAGCTCCCAGGGAGAGGGCCCCGGACGCAGTCGGAAAGAGAGGGCATCAGCTGCCCGGGGCGGTGTGAGCTGTGGGCTCCGTGTGTGTGTGTGTGTGTGTGTAGGCTCCGTGTGTGTGTGTGTAGGCTCTGTGTGTGTGTGCATAGGCTCCGTGTGTGTGTGTGTAGGCTCCGTGTGTGTAGGCTCCTTGTGTGTGTGTGTAGGCTCTGTGTGTGTGTGTGTAGGCTCTGTGTGTGTGTGTAGGCTCCTTGTGTGTGTGTGTAGGCTCTGTGTGTGTGTGCGTAGACTCCGTGTGTGTGTGTAGGCTCTGTGTGTGTGTGCGTAGGCTCCATGTGTGTGTGTAGGCTCCTTGTGTGTGTGTGTAGGCTCTGTGTGTGTGCGTAGACTCCGTGTGTGTGTGTAGGCTCTGTGTGTGTGTGCGTAGGCTCCATGTGTGTGTGTGTGTGTGTAGGCTCTGTGTGTGTGTGCGTAGGCTCCGTGTGTGTGTGTGTGTAGGCTCCGTGTGTGTAGGCTCCGTGTGTGCATGTGTGTAGGCTCTGTGTGTGTGTGCGTAGGCTCCGTGTGTGTGTAGGCTCCGTGTGTGTGTAGGCTCCTTGTGTGTGTGTATGTGTATAGGCTCCGTGTGTGTAGGCTCCGTGTGTGTGTGTGTGTGTGTGTAGGTTCCGTGAGTGTGTAGGCTCCGTGTGTGTGTGTGTGTGTAGGCTCCGTGTATGTGTGTAGGCTCCATGTGTGTGTGTGTGCACAGCAGTGTGAGCTGGCTCCCAGGGCCCTGTGTTTTCCGTGTGTGTGTGTGTGTGTGCGCACAGCAGAGCAGCTGAGGGCCTGCCCAGGGCCCAGAGCTGCTCTGTCACTCAGCTTTGCAGCCCCGAGCCTCACGCCTGACTCCCAGCCGGCTGCATGCCCCCAGCTCGTGTGTGTGTGTGTATGCTCCGTGTGTGTGTGTGTGTGTGTGTAGGTTCCACCCAGCCGCATGCCCCCAGCTCGTGTGTGTGTGTGTACGCTCTGTGTGTGTGTGTGTACACTCCGTGTGTGTGTGTGTGTGTGTGAGCACCCGTGCGTGGGCGTCTGTGTGGGCCCTTCCTGGCCTCTGCCCTCACTTGCTCAGGCTCCTGCAATATGGAGCCCACGCTGGGTGGCTTAAACGGTGGACAAGCCTAGCCCCGCAGGGCTGGAGCCCCAAAGTCCAGGCGGCTGGGCCCCCAGGGCTGTGTGTCCCAGGCGTCTCTTGCTGGCTTGCGGGCAGCATCTTCTCCTCGTGTCCTGTGGGTGTCGCTGTGTCCACCCGTCACACCGGCTTAGACCTCCCTCCCTGTGACTTGGTGACGGCGTCCCTGGTGCCCAGGGCAGCCTGCAGAAGCCGGAGTCCCTGAGTGAAGTGACACAGGGGCCACAGAACCCACACACAGCCTCCCGACCCTTCAAGTCTTCTAGACCACTTGTGGTGCTGCACACAACACGAGCGCTGGGTGCGAAACTGTCACATGACACTATCCAGGGAGTAACCACAGGAGGAAACGGTACAGGCTTAGCACAGGTGCAGTCTTTTCCCAGATCTCTGGACCCGTGATTGGTTGAATACCGCGGCTGAGACCTCACGGCTGGGCCGGGTGCAGCCGCCCTCTAGAACCCCATTTCCCAATAAAGTGGCAGTCGGAGATGCCAGGGGCTAGGACCCAGGGAGACACAGCTCCACCCGTCACGGCCCCCACACCTCGCCTGCAGCTTGTGTGCCCCAGGACTCCCCGCTTCCCAGAGGGCGGGGCTCTGAGGCACAGGGGCAGCCTTGGGCTTCCTGATGCTGCAGAACAAGTGGCCGCGGCCCTACGGCCCCAGCACTGCAGACCAGAAGCACAGGCTCAGGGCAGAGTCCCAGGGTTCCAGGGCCCTGAACCAGGAGTCAGCTGAGCTGAGTTCTCATCCCGAGCCGGGGCCCCTTCCAGACCCACGCAGGCTCCTGGCAGGATTCAGTCCTGTGGCTGTGGGCCTGGGCCTGCCTGGTGCTGGCTCTCAGCTCCTGAGGCCGCCACACTCCTCGGGCACCCAGGGCCCTCCCCCGGGAAGCCGACAGCCGTCTTCAGAGCTCTCCAGCTTTCTCCGGGCCCACTTGGAGGGAATCTGTGCGTCTGGGGTGCTCCTGGCTTGGGCAGTCCCCCAGGATCAGCTCCCGCTGCCGCTTAGTGTACGGTCATCACGGGCTCCGCCTACACCCCAGGGAGGCAGGTGGGGTGCACAGACCACAGGGTGGGGTCAGGCCGTCTCAGCACCGTGCCCGCGCAGGGGGTGAGTCTCCCACTGCAGGCTGGAACTCCGAAGGGCCGTCTCCCACCCGCTTTCTCCCAGGGGACGCACTGCAGGCCAGCGGCATCCGAATCGCCGCTGTGTTCGCCTCGCCAGCCCTCCGCTGCGTGCAGACGGCAAAACACATCCTGGAAGGTGGGTGACGGCGGCCGGGCTGCCCACGCTGCTTCCACCCCGCGGGAAGCGGGTGGAGGCGGAGCTGGCTGACGGGTGAGGGGTGGGCAAGAAACAATCACGCCAAGGCAGCTGCAGGCGGGCACACTGCTTCTGGAATGCCAGGCGTGGAATGCCGGTGGGAGCTGGGGCCGGCGAGTGCCTGGGTCTGTCATCGCACCCCGCACCTCTGGCCCCCTGCGGAGGCCCCTCTGTCTGGAGCCAGGCAGTCAGACGCCAGGAGGCTGGGAGCTGCAATGCCGGCTCTGCCCAGGCAGGGGGCGCTGCGGGGAGCTGTCCAAGGTTCTGAAAGGCTGAGCCCAGGCAGCCGCCTGCAGACCCTGCCGCAGGGTCCGTCTACACTGCAGCCTGTTGGGGGGCCTGGGCTCTGCTCTCCAGTCTGAGTCCCACCTGCTCCTCCCTGGGGTGGGCATGGCCGGGAGCACGGGCCCAGGTAGGAGAGGGCAGAGCACGTGACAGGTACAGCAGGTGGGGAGATGTGGAGGGCACCTTGATCGGCCTCTCAGAGCCACAGGAAGTCAGGTCAGCGGCAGAAAGTGGACGAGGGGAGGGACCGCTGGGAGTCTGAGTGAGGCTGAAGGTGTGAGACAGCTGCCAGGGACTGGGAGATGCCCATCCAAGGCAGCACCAAGGGGCCGCCTACGGCATCTCAGACCCCCGTCTCTGTGCCCAGAGCACTGGGACCCATCCGGCTTCGAGCTGGCCAAGTCCTCAGTGGTTCTCAGCCTTCACCAGGGCTGTGCTGTTGAAGCGGGGGCTGGGCACTGGCCTGCTGTCCACAGCCCCTCCCAGCCATCTTCCCCGTGGACAGAGGGTCCCCACTCCTCCAGCACCTGCCAACTGCCCAGCGATTTTGCTCTCAGAAAGAGAGAAATTCCACAGAGCAATATTTGCTAAGAAAAAAGCCACCTGTTTGAGAGGTGGTCCAGAGGTGTGTGTGAGAGTCTGAGTCCAGGCGGGGACCCATTTACTGGAAGCAAAAGTAGACGAGGAGGAGGACAAACCCCTGTGTTCTGTCGCACCAGAACTCCAGCTGGAGAGGAGGCTCAAGATAAGAGTGGAGCCCGGGATCTTTGAGTGGACAAAGTGGGAGGCCAGCAAAGCGCCCCCGGCCCTCATGACCTTGGAAGAGCTGAAAGAGGCAGGTCTCAGCGTGGACACTAATTACAGGTGCGTGGCCCTGAGCTCCCCGCCCCGGGGCGCTGACTCTTGTGGAAGGAAATGCTTACAGCCTGTGCTGGAGAGGGGGAGGATGGGTCCAGTCCGTGGGTGCAGAGCCAAGGGGTGGGGCTGGGTGGGGGCTGGGGCTCTTAAAATCTGAGAGAAAAGAGGTCTGAGGAGCTGCCGGGAGCCTGGCCGAGGGCAGGGTCCTCGTCCTTTCCCTCCCATGCCTGCCTCTGCCACACAGAGGCCCCCCGTGTTCCAAAGAACGCGTGATGGGCACCGCTGCCCACCCTCAGCACAGAACCAGCGCCCCCTGCCGACCGCACCCCGCGGTCCTGAGCCTGTGTTCCGGGGTCCAGCATGGCCGCCCCACCTCTCTCCTCATTCCAGGCCTGCGTTTGCCCTCTCCTCCCTCACGCCAGCTGAGAGCTATGATGACTATGTGGACAGGTGCGCCGTGAGCGTGGCACAGATGGTCAGCGCCTGCCCACAGGACAGTAAGTGCCTTGCTGCCGTGGGGATGGGCTCACTTCCAGGGTGCACACTGGATCATCTCTGAGCCCCTGCGTGCTCCAGACTCCCCGACCCCCTTCTGCAGCCAGCTGAGTGCAATGTCACTGCTGCTGTCCTAACCGGGTGTGCAGACACACATGCCATGCCCCCTAAGCCCTGGGGACCCCGTTCTGTCTGAGTGGCCAAAAAACCCAGGGCCAACACAATGCTGTCTATCCAAACACCCAGGTCAGCTCCCGGGATGCAAGGGGACCAGGCAGGAACAGTCAGATCTACCAGGTGTGGGCGGGGGCGGGCTTGGGCCGGGCTGGCCTCCCACCTCCTGGCTTCCACTGTCCCGGATGAAGCACCTGCAGATCTGGCTTCCCATTCTGTCCCCAAGCTGGCAGGGGTAACTTTGTCACCCCCGGGAGACTCACTGGGCCAGTGGTCACTGGCTGTCTCTGTCGCAGCGGGAGTCACAGCAGGCTCATGGCTATAAACCCACCAACAGTTCTAAAGGGGACTGGATCCCGGCTGGGCGGCAGCCACTATCACATCACAGCCTGTGATTGACGGTGCCCGCGAGCTGGCCAGAGGGCGGTGGCTCGGTCACTCTCCCCCATCTCTGGGGCTGGCGGGCAGGGGCTGTCCCCAGGTCCCCGTGGGAGGTGAAGGATGCTGGGGTGGATGGAAGCCAGTGCCACGCGCACCTGCCCCTGCCCCTGCCCCTGCCCCTGCCCTGGGCCCTCTCGAGGCTCTGACACCGCGGGGGCCACGGACAGCCCTCACCCCCAGGTGTCTCTTTCCTGCAGTGGGCGTCATCCTCATTGTGAGCCACGGCTCTGCACTGGACTCCTGCACCCGGCCGCTCCTCGGACTGCCGCCCCGGAGCTGTGGGGACTTTGCCCAGCTGGTGAGAAAGGTGGGTGCCCGCTCCTGCCCCTTTGGGCCACAAAGTTGTGCCCTGCGAGGCACAGGGCCAACACACACCCCAGCGTCAATCCAAAGCCAGCAGCCAGGAGCTTCCTCAGGTCTCCCAGGCAGGTGCGGGGGCCCAAGGACTTGGGCCATCTTCCACTGCTTTCCCAGGCCACAGCAGAGAGCTGGATGGAAAGTGGAGCAGCTGGGACTTGAACCTGCACCCATATGGGATGCCGGCACTGCAGGCAGCGGCTTTACCCGCTGAGCCACAGCACCGGCCCCATCTTTTTTATTTTATCTTTGAGAGGCAGAGAGACTCATCACCAGCCAGCCAGACGTGGTTGACCCCCCAGATGTCCTCAGATCTGGGACCTCAGTCCAGGTCTCCCGCGTGGGTGGCAGGGATCCGCCACGCGGGCCATCAGCGCTGCCTCCTGGGAACTGGGAGCTGCCGTGGACACAGACCAGGGAGCTCTGACAGGGGTGTGGGCATCTTTTTCCTCAATGTGTGCTTATCTGAAAGGCAGAGTGACCGAGAGGGACAGACAGGGAGAGAGAGGGCTCCTGTCCGCTGGTGCACTCCCCAGATGCCCGCAACAGCTGGGCCGCCTGGTCCACCCTGCGGGGTGTGGTAGTAGCCGCAGGCTGATTGGCCGGCGAGGAGTGACTGATGCGTAGTCCTACAGGTTGATTGGCTGGTGAGGAGTGACTGACGTGTAACCCTGCGGGCTGATTGGCTGGTGAGGAGTGACTGACGCATAGCCCTGCGGGCTGATTGGCTGGTGAGGAGTGACTGACGTGTAACCCTGCGGGCTGATTGGCTGGTGGAGTGACTGACGTGTAACCCTGAGGGCTGATTGGCTGGTGGAGTGACTGACGTGTAACCCTGCGGGCTGATTGGCTGGCGGAGTGACTGACGTGTAACCCTGTTGGCTGATTGGCTGGTGAGGAGTGACTGACGTGTAACCTTGTGGGCTGATTGGCTGGTGGAGTGACTGACGTGTAACCCTGCGGGCTGATTGGCTGGCGGAGTGACTGACGTGTAACCCTGCGGGCTGATTGGCTGGCGGAGTGACTGACGTGTAACCCTGCGGGCTGATTGGCTGGCGGAGTGACTGACGGCCACGTTTCCGTGTTCCAGATCCCATCCCTGGGCATGTGCTTCTGTGAAGAGAACAGAGAGGAGGGGCGGTGGGAGCTGGTGAGCCCGCCCGTGAAGGCACTCACACACGGCTCCAACGCGGCCTTCGACTGGCGGAGCTGGATCCTGGGCAGCTGAGCGGCCGCGCGTGGGCTCAAGCGCCCCGCGTGGGGAGCCGCAGACCGCGCGCCACGCCCGAGGCCTCCGTGTTCCAGAACATTCGCCTCTCGCTTCTGCCGCGCTCACCCCGGCGGGGGCTCCAGGGCCCACGGGCGCGGCTCTGACGGCGGCCCGGGTTCCCCACGCGCGCACTGGCCGCCCGCGTGGCTGCGCTGCTCCCGCAGGGTCAGGTCCCAGCGCCTCCTCCCCCGCCTCACGCGGTCCTCCGCCGGGGCCCCGCCCTCCGCGGGCAGGAAGACCCCCACCCCACCCTGGGCACACCGGGCCTTGCGGTGTCCATGGCCCAGGCGTCCGGGCTGGCGCCGCCGTAATAAACAACCACAGACTCGGTGAGGACAGCTCGCCCTGGGGCTGCGCTCCCGTGGGACCCCTCCCTGCACTGTCTCCCTCCCAGGGCGCCCACTCCCCGCCCCCCAAGGCCAGCAGCGCAGTGTCCACCCGTCCCCTCCTGTCCCTATACACGGACCCCCAAGTCCACCCGTCCCCTCTCTGTCCTCTGCACGGACCCCTGCCCCGCCCCTGCCTCCCTCGGGTGTCCCGGGGCCCCTAGCATCCTAGGGCCGGCTCTCGCCTCTTAGCCGCACCTGAGCCCCTGTGTGTCCCGGGCCCGGGGGCTGGGACAGGGACGACGGGGGGCTGGAGGCTGTCCTCCAACCTGCCCCGCTCACACCAGGGTCTGGGGTCTGCACGAGACCCCGCCCCCAGCAGGTCCTGCCCACCTGCTCTCCTCCCTTCTGATGAATGTGGGGTCGGGATGCACCAGGAATTTGCCAGTGAGGGGTGGGTCCCTCAGAATGGGGGAGGCTGACCATGACCGGGAGCCGGGGCAGCCCCGAGTCTGAAGGGGCCAGAACGGCAGTGGTGGGGCTTCCCGAGGGGGCTCTGCCCACGGTGTGGGACTGCAGGCCGGACCCCTCCCGGTGCAGCCAAAGCCCAGGGTCCGAGGTTTCTTCCTCCCCCCACCCCACCCCAGCTCACCCCACACTGCCACGACCCTTGCCCCAGGCGAAGGCAGAACCAGGACCCAGCCCCCGAGGTACCTGTGTCCCTGGCTCATCCCACCAGACACAGCCAGGCCTCACGTGGAGGGAGCTTCGCCCGCGCTGGCTAACCCGGGGCTGCCTTCGCCTCGGCCAGGTGTCGGGCCGTCCCAGGTGTCGGGGCCGGGCCCAGGTGCTCTGTCTGGGAGCAGGTATCAGGGCCGGGCACAGGTGCTCTGTCTGGGAGCAGGTATCAGGGCTGGGCACAGGTGCTCTGTCTGGGAGCAGGTGTCGGGCCGTCCCAGGTGTCGGGGCCAGGCACAGGTGTCGGGGCCGGTCACAGGTGCTCTGTCTGGGAGCAGGTGTCGGGCCGGGCCCAGGTGTCGGCCGTCCCAGGTGTCGGGGCCAGGCACAGGTGCTCTATCTGGGAGCAGGTGTCGGGGCCGGGCCCAGGTGTCGGGCCGTCCCAGGTGTCGGGGCCGGTCACAGGTGCTCTATCTGGGAGCAGGTGTCGGGCCGGGCACAGGTGTCGGGCCGTCCCAGGTGTCAGGGCCGGGCACGGGTGCTCTATCTGGGAGCAGGTGTCGGGGCCGGGCACAGGTGTCGGGGCCGGGCACAGGTGTCGGGGCCGGTCACAGGTGCTCTGTCTGGGCGCAAGTGTCGGGCTGGACCCAGGTGTCGGGCCGTCCCAGGTGTCAGGGCCGGGCACAGGTGCTCTATCTGGGCGCAAGTGTCGGGCTGGACCCAGGTGTCGGGCCGTCCCAGGTGTCGGGGCCAGGCACAGGTGCTCTGTCTGGGAGCAGGTGTCGGGCTGGACCCAGGTGTCGGGCCGTCCCAGGTGTCGGGGCCAGGCACAGGTGCTCTGTCTGGGAGCAGGTGTCGGGCTGGACCCAGGTGTCGGGCCGTCCCAGGTGTCGGGGCCAGGCACAGGTGCTCTGTCTGGGAGCAGGTGTCGGGGCCGTCCCAGGTGTCAGGGCCAGGCACAGGTGCTCTGTCTGGGAGCAGGTGTCGGGGCCAGGCCCAGGTGTCGGGGCCGGGCACAGGTGTTGGGGCCGGGCACAAGTGCGCTGGCTGGGCTGATGTTGGGGCCAGGCACAGGTGTCGGGGCCGGGCACAGGTGCGCTGGCTGGGCCAATGTTGGGGCCAGGCCCAGGTGTCAGGGCCAGGCCCAGGTGCGCTGTCCAGGCCCAGGTGTCGGGGCCAGGCACAGGTGTCGGGACAAGGCACACGTGCGCTGGCTGGGCACAGGTGTCGGGACAAGGCAACGGTGCTGGCTGGGCACAGGTGTCAGGGCCGTCCCAGGTGTCGGGGCTGGGCACAGGTGTTGGGGCTGGGCACAGGTGCGCTGTCCAGGCCCAGGTGTCGGGGCTGTCCCAGGTGTCGGGGCTGGGCACAGGTGTCGGGGCCGGGCAGAATACAGGAAATGTGTGCTGGATAAAACGAACAGCAAAGTTACGGTGAACAGCACAGAAGCAACCAGAAGAGCTCCGGGAGCCTGGACACCAAGCAGGGGCCCCTGAGGGACGGGGTCAGGGACAGGGTCAGGGACGGCTCCTGGAGGAGGTGCGTGGTTGGAAGCGGCTTCCTGAAACGCGAGCATGGGGCACAGTCGGGGCACAAATTCCCAGGGTTGGGCACGCACAAGGCAGCAGCAGAACCAAGGGGAGGCAGGGGGTGCAGACCCCGCCTGTGGGGCGCCCGGCGATGCTGGGCTCTGCACAGAGGCTTGGGGGGACAGAGAAGGCAGGGGGTGCAGACCGCAGCCTGTGGGGTGCCCGGCGACGCTGGGCTCTGCACAGAGGCTGCGGGGGACAGAGAAGGCAGGGGGTGCAGACCGCAGCCTGTGGGGTGCCCGGCGACGCTGGGCTCTGCACAGAGGCTGCGGGAGACAGAGAAGGCAGGGCGTGCAGACCCCAGCCTGTGGGGCGCCCGGCGACGCTGGGCTCTGCACAGAGGCTGCGGGAGACAGAGAAGGCAGGGGGTGCAGACCCCAGCCTGTGGGGCGCCCGGCGACGCTGGGCTCTGCACAGAGGCTGCGGGGGACAGAGTGGGGGCCAGAGCACTGAATCATCCCCGCCCACCGGCACGGCCCCCAGACTCCCACAGCTCCGGAGAGGAGGGACCTGGCGGGAGGCAGCTGACCAGGTCACAAAGTCCCAGTGTTGCCTGCTGACTTGAGGTTTGGAAAGAGAAACATCTTTGTCTGCGTAGGTCCGTGATGTCGGCCGTTAATCGGCCGCTTCATTCGCCCTCCCCATCTTTCCCCAACCCCTTCTGCCTCTTCCCTTCCTGCCTCCCACACCCCCTTCTCCACTGTCCCTGGCCCACGGAAAACCACAACCAGCCACAAAGAAAGGCCGGCGTGCAGCTGGCAGGGAGCTGTGGTCTCGCAGTGTGGAGAGGAGTTGGGGTCCGGATGCCCCACCCCTGCCGGGCTTGGTGGGGGGAAAAGGGGGAAGAGTCGAGGAGCGCCCCCAAGGCACAGGCCCCCACATCCCCACTCGGGAAGGTGCCAGGCCCGGGAGGGGCTGAAGGGCCCCAGGCCAGGCTCAACCAAGGGGGCACTGGAGCCAAGGAGATGAGAGCTGGTGGAGGCTGAGGGGCCCCCCAGGGGTGAGGAGCCCCCAGGGGGTGAGGGGCCCGAAGCCTGGATCGTCAAGATGAGGGACCCAGCCGCACGCCAGGCCCTGCATCCACTCCAGGCTGCAGGCAATGCCCCCGACCCCAGAGAAGTCACCGGACAGGACTGGGGTCCCCTGCCACGTGCCATGGCCGTGGATGAGAGGCCACAGGCAGGAGTGCACCACGGTGAAGCCGCAGCCGCCTTAGGGTGCGATGCTCGCACAGCGACAGCTCGCCCGGGGCCACGGTCCTCAGAACGTGACCCTGTGGCCGAGCGACAGACGCCTGACTCCACCTGGTCCAGCAGAGAGGGAGCCAAATGCGGCAGGTCCTGGAGGACGGCGGACCTGGGAAGGCAGGGACAGGAGGGCTGAGCCCCCGCTGGCGCAGCTGCGGCCTGTGGAGGCTGTCACTGCACGGGGGACGAGCCAGCTCTTGGGTCCCGAAAGCCGGAGGACTGAGCTTGTGGCAACCACAAGCGCCGGAAAGCAAGCGCGGAATCGATACGGAGAAAGCCGAGAGGGGCCCCGGCTTGGTCTGTCCAGGTGCATTCTTCAAAATCGCAGCTTCTTCTCAGGAAGGAACCGGGGAAACAGAGGGGCGTGGACAGAGCTTCCACAGCCGGACAGAAGACAGCCGGAGAGGAGCTGGGGGCCGGCGCTGCGGCGTAGCAGCTAAAGCCACCACCTGCAGGGCCGGCATCCCATGTGGGTGCCAATTCGAGTCCCGGCTGCTCCACTTCCGATCCAGCTCTCTGCTGTGGCCTGGGAAAGCAGTGGAGGATGACCCAAGTGCTTGGGCCCCTGCACCCATGTGGGAGACCCGGAGGAAGCTCCTGGCTCCTGGCTTCGGATCAGCCAAGCTCAGCTCCTGCTGTTACAGCCACTGGGGGAGTGAACCAGCGGATGGAAGACCTCTCTCTCTGTGTCTCTCCCTCTCTCTGTAACTCTACCTCTCGAAATAAGTAAATAAAATTCTTTTTTTAAAAAGCAAAGCTGGGAGAGCATTTCTGCAGACAGTCCATGAAGAATGAGAGGCAGAAATCCGGCCAGCACAGGAGTGAGCGCCCAGGGCCGCCAGTGTTAGCCATAGCGGCGCCTGCTGGGGACAGAGGCCGAGGTTCCTGCGCCTGGGGGTCGGCTGGGCTGGGGAATTGTAGCCCTCTGGCCTGTCTGAACCGCGATGGTTGACTGTGCTACCTAAGAGAATGGCCTTGGCTCCACAAGGCCTACACTGAGACACTTGGGCATGTGTTACACCCAAACGGCCGTGAAAACCGCTCCGGGTGCCTGGAGATGACGTACATACACACACACATCCACCTCGCTGCACACACTCACATCCACCTCCCTGTACACACGTCCACCTCCCTGTACACACACTCACGTCCACCTCCCTGTACACACTCACATCCACCTCCCTGTACACACTCACGTCCACCTCCCTGCACACACTCACATCCACCTCCCTGTACACACTCACGTCCACCTCCCTGCACACACTCACGTCCACCTCCCTGCACACACTCACATCCACCTCCCTGCACACACTCACGTCCATCTCCCTGTACACACTCACATCCATCTCCCTGTACACACTCACGTCCACCTCCCTGTACACACTCACGTCCATCTCCCTGTACACACTCACGTCCACCTCCCTGTACACACTCACGTCCATCTCCCTGTACACACTCACGTCCACCTCCCTGCACACACTCACGTCCACCTCCCTGTACACACTCACGTCCACCTCCCTGTACACACTCACGTCCACCTCCCTGCACACACTCACGTCCATCTCCCTGTACACACTCACGTCCACCTCCCTGCACACACTCACAATCCACCTCCCTGCACACACTCACGTCCACCTCCCTGTACACACTCACATCCACCTCCCTGCACACACTCACGTCCACCTCCCTGTACACACTCACGTCCACCTCCCTGTACACACTCACGTCCACCTCCCTGCACACACTCACGTCCACCTCCCTGTACACACTCACATCCACCTCCCTGCACACACTCACGTCCACCTCCCTGTACACACTCACGTCCACCTCCCTGCACACACTCACATCCACCTCCCTGCACACACTCACGTCCACCTCCCTGTACACACTCACATCCACCTCCCTGCACACACTCACGTCCACCTCCCTGTACACACTCACGTCCACCTCCCTGCACACACTCACGTCCATCTCCCTTCCAAATAATAATGAACCATCTTTACAAGAGAAGAATTCAACCTCTCTCCCGCCTTCCTGAGAGGAACTTGCATTTCACGGGCACCGAGAGTCGGTTGTCGCTGGTCTCATGAAGCGCGCGGCAGAGGTGCAGTGAGAGAGAACCTGCTCGTCCCGACGCCCCGGGCTGCACCCGGCCCCGCCAGGCGCCCCCCCCCCCCACAGCAGTGCATCCGCACGGCACACCGTTTCTTCTGCTGTAATGAAACAGGAAGGACCCCCCCCCCATGGTGGACCGTGAGTGCCTCAAGCCTGCCTGTGACTTCCTGAGCCGTAAGAAACAGGGACGGGCGTGTGGTGCAGGGGTTGAGCTGCTGCGTGGAAGCCCTGCGTGTCCAAGCAGAGCGCAGGTTCGAGTCCCGGCTGCCCCACTTCCGATGCAGCCTGGGAAAGCAGCAGAAGACAGCCCAAGCGCTGGGCCCCTGCACCCACATGGAGGACCCGGATGGAGCTCCTGGCTCCTGGCTTCGGCCCGGCCCAGATCTGGCTGCTGCAGCCACTTAGGAAGTGTACCAGCAGATGGAAGATCTGTCCTCTGCCTCTCAAGCAGATGAGAATAAATACACACAAGAAAGGCAGGCCAGGACCCGGAAGACCAAGCAGGGAACCCGACAGGTGAGGACGGCGAGACGCCCCTCCCGGGAGCAGGCTCAGTCTCTCCGAAACCAGAGGTGTGAGGGAGGGCACCTGGGGGCGGGGGTGAGGGGCAGGGGGCTCTCCCAGGAGCCCTGGCCTTGGCCTCAGAGCGCCTTCCCAGGGGCCCCGCCAGGGTGTTTAACCGCGTGACAGAGGCGCCAGCTCTTCCCCCGGCTTCCCGTCCCTCACGAGTCCCTGCCCCGAACGGCGGCGAAGTGCTCGCGTGGCGGGGAGCGCCGACTGCCTGAGCGTGGGGTGGACTTGGCTGGGCTCTGGCGGGCTTTCCGTGTCTGCTCCTGTTTCTGCCGTGACTTCTGCGTGTAGCTCAGTGGCCGCTGCAGGGAGGGCGGGCGGGGTGGGGGATGGGTGCGCACCGTGGCGTGGGAGCCGAGGAGCAGAGAGGTTTGCAGTGGGCAGTGTCGGGGGCCAGCCTCGGGGCCGTGGAAAGGGAGGGTCCCGGCTGATGCCTGGCCCGGACATGGGGGGCAACTGGGGGTCTAACGAGGCAGCCCACGCAGCCTCGGGGCAGAACGTAGGGGCGCCGGCCAGCGGTGCGGAATCCTGCAGGAGCCCGTGGGCCGCGCGGCGTCTGCGAATGGGGACAAGAGTTTTACACCCTCAGCCAGCGCCTCAGGGAACAAGAGAGGCTGGGGGGTGTGCTTGCCGGGCACACGGTCCCCTGTGGCTGCTGGCTTCTTATGAGGCCGTGTTTTCCCAGAGTTGCACACACCAATCCTTAGTTTCTGGGGCTTTCCTAGCTCTCTCGAAGGAAGGAGGGGAGAGAAGTCCGCGTCCACACCGGCGCCCGTGCCGGCACAGATGTGGCTGTCTTTACCCTGGAAGAAACTCCACTGAGAAACAGCAGTGGGGCAGCGCTGTGGTGCAGCGGGTAAAGCCGCCACCTGCAGGGCCGGCATCCCATATGGGCACCAGTTCCAGTCCCGGCTGCTCCACTTCCGATCCCGCTCTCTGCTGTGGCCTGGGAAAGCAGTAGAAGATGCCCTAGTCCTTGGGCCCCTGCACCCACATGGGAGACCTGGAAGAAGCTCCTGGCTCCTGGCTTCGGATCAGCACAGCTCCGGCCATTGCCGCCTTTGGGGGAGTGAACCAGTGGATGGAAGACCTGTTTCTTCCTCTCTCTGTCTCTGTCTGTAACTCTACCTCTCAAGTAAATAAACAGAATTTAAAAATAAATAAAAGAAACAGTGGCAAAACAATCCGGCGACCTTTAGTCCACAGAACGAGAAGCGAAACCAAGGATAAGGGAGTTTATTTGCGACTGCAAACCAGCCTCACAAGCGACAGGCGACAGGCGACGTGAGCGAGCAGGCCCCGCCCGCGCCCCTCACTCCTGCAGGTCCGACTGCCTGCCCTCCTCTTCTTCGAAGCTGGCGTTGGCTGTGGAGAAAAGCCGAGCATGAGCTGCCCGGGGTCACTTGGTTCTGAAAGTCTTGGTTCACTAACAGCTCCTTTGCAACAAGGACGCTGTAATGATTAATCGTTTATCGGCAGCAACGGAGTGCTACATTTTCTCTCATTCAGACTTCTCCAGGGTGCCTTTGGGTGCTACAGTCAGCAGGCAAAAGGGCTGTGGCGCAGGGGGTAAGGCTGCGGCCTGCGGCGCCGGCACCCCATGTAGGCACCAGTCCGAGTCCCGGCTGCTCCACTTCCAAACCAGCTCCCTGCTAATGCGCCTGGGAAAGCAGTGGAAGATGCCCAAGTGCTTGGGCCCCTGCACCCACATGGGAGACCTGGAAGAAGCTCCCGGCCATTTGGGGAGTGAACCAGCAGATGGAAGACCCCTCTCTCTCTCTCCCTCCCTCTCTCTCTCTCTCTCTCTGTAACTCTGACTTTCAAATAAATCAATAAAAATTAACAAGGAAAAAAGGCACATTCGGAGGCGATGCTAGGGCACGGGCCTTCACGCCGCGTCAGGAACTCTCTCGTGCCTGCACACAGCACCCAAAGCAGGCAGCTTCGTGGGCAGCGCGTTGTCTTGGCCCTCGCACTGTACCGTGCAGGTGAAGTCTGCAGCGCCCACTGCCGGCTGTGTTGGAGGAGAAACCCCGGGCGTGGGGCAGGTGTTGTGGCTCAGTGGGCGACGCCACCGCTGGGGACACTCAAGTCCCACATCAGAGTGCGTGGGATCAAGTCCCACCCCCACCCCAGTCCAGCTTCCCAAGGGTCCCTGCCCCCGCCATGGGAGACCCCGAGGGAGTCGGGCTCCTGGCTTCAGCCTGGCCCAGCCCTGGCTGCTGTGCACACAGGGGCATGAGCCAGTGGGGTTCTCTCCTTGTCCCTCTTTCTCTGTCTTTCTCCCTCTCTCTTTGCACCCCTCTCTTTCAAACAAACAAATATATATTTTAAAAGAGAAACCGCAGGGGGCTCTCGGGTGTAATGTGGGGGCTGTGATGAGCACATTTCCTGTTTCTATGTTTGCATGGGACGCTTTGCCTCCAAGCCCACTTCTTCCTTGCTCAGGTTTCGTGGGAGGCCCTGGGGACCCTGGGGCTGGGGAACCCCTGCTGTGGGGCTGCCCTGTGCCCTGTGGGGTGTTTGTGTCCCCAGCGGGGACGATATGAGGAGCACCCCCCTCCCTGGCCCTCAAGTCTCCCACACTGCTGGTGTCCCTGTGGGCCATGGCTGGGTGACGGCGACACTCTCTGACCGGGGCGGTGTCGGGAAGCTGCAGTGGCAGGGGCTGGCTGGCCCCAGATGGCATCAGCTCAGGACCAGGGACTCTCGCCCTCACTTGGGTCCCCTCCCTTCTCTATGCACATATCCCAGCCCATCCTCCCCGGGGCCCCAGAGAAACTGGGGAAGCCAGGCCTGAATGGCGCCCCCTAGGGCTCCCACAGGGCCTTTCCCCACGGCGCCCAGGATCAAATCGCAGCAAGAAAGGGCCAGGGCGGGGCTGTCATCCTCACCCCCACACACCCTGGGGCGCGGGGTCTCCTTCCTGGTCTCACCCATCCCGGTCCCCTCAGCGCCCCCCCCCCATCTTGAGACTCCTTCCCGGCAGGGCCACGGGCCGTGGTGACTTCACAGATTCTGGGGTGGGCCGTGCCTCGCCCCTGCACACCCTGAGGTCAAACCCAGCATCTCCCGGGCCGCCCACGGGTCTGCAGAGCAGCTGAGCGAGGCCCTGGACGCTGCGCCGGCTCCTGGGCTCCCCTGTGGGCCTGGGGCCTGCAGGCACCCTTGTCGCCCACCTTACACGAATGGGACAGAAGCAGGACGCACCGTCCTGGCCACCGACTCCCAAGCCAGGTTTCCACTCAGTCAGGGGGGGCCCTGGATCCGGGGGCTGAGACTTGGGGGGAGGGGAGCAGGTGACCCCCAGCCCCAAGCCCTTCCCAGGTGACCTTCCCCCTACAACAAGGAGCAGCCTCCATCGGACGGGAGACACGGGGAGAAGATCCTCCAGGCTCTCTGGCCGTGCACAAGCCTGGAAGCTTCCGTCTCGGCCAGCCCATGGGTGCGGATTTGCCCTCAGCTCTGACCGAGGTGCCTGGACTCAGCGCTACCCCCAACGCGGGGGGGGCCTGGGCTGTACACCTGTGACTCTGCAGGGTAAAGGTCACGGGACAAAACCACGCGTCCACTTCTCCAGCGGGCGGCCCCCCGTGGGAGCGGACGTGAGCGCCACCGCGGCTGAGGGCGGCACCCGGCAAGGCTTGCCGGAGGCCCTGGGCCGGGGTGACCTCCCCACAGGGGCTCCCGGCGCTGCGGGGGGCGTGTCCTCACCCTGGTCCACGTCGTAGCCGAACTCCCGGTTGTCGTCCCTGAACACGTCGGCGTCCTCGTCCCCCGGCCGCATCTCCATCTCGCCCTCGAACCCCTCCAGGAGGCCCTGGCTCTCCTCCGTGTCCTCGCCGATGCCTGGGGGGCGACAGAGGACGCGAGGGCTGAGGGCGGGGGAACGCAGGGAACGACCGTGTCGGGGTGCGGGGGGCGGCGGCCTCCCCTGGCCTGGCCAGCGCCTGCCCCCGCCTCCTGGGCACACACGTATCACACAGGCGTCACCACCAGGGGCCGAGACCCGAGCAGGAGCTGGCCACAGGCACCCGAGCCGGCTTTCCGGCGTGGCAGAGCACGGGACCACCCCCCCCCCGCCGTGTGGCCGCCGTGGAGAAGGGCTGCCCGGTCCTTCTCGTCACAGCCGGGGTCACGCCCACAGCCAGGCTCTGCCCCGGGCGAGGGGCGGAAGGGCCCCCTCCCGCTCACGTCTCCCTGTGTGCTCCGTCCGCCTCCTCTCCCTCGCTGGGGGTGTTTGGTCCCAAAGGCTCCCCGGCCCCACCTCCACCCTCCACCAGCCGGAGAAGAGGGAGTCGATCACCCGCAGCAGCTCCGCACCCTCGGTCCGCGGGGTCTCCTCCTGGCCAGGTCCCTCCGACGGGGCCTGCTCCTTGGGGAGCGTCGGCGTCCACAGGGCCAGTTCCGTGATCTTGGTGGCTTTCCATTTCGGGACGACCGCTACCAAAGCCTCCTCCTCCTCCTCCTCTTCTCCTCTCTCCTGGGCCAAAGCAGAAGCGAGAACTTAACGCCGTCTGTGCAGCCTTGCTCTGCAGTATCAGAAGTGAAGGGACGAACAGCACGGGTCCCGCAGTGCGTCTGAGCCTTTGCCCCGCACCGCTCAGGGTTCGGACGTCAGCCGGCTCCTCCCAGAATCCCTGACGGTTGCAAACAGCTCCCCCGGGGGCCAGGGTGAGAGCAGGAGCCAGCAGCGAGGCTCACGGGCTCTGCACTGTCGGCAGCCATCAAGGAGGGGCCCAGGCTAAGCGGCCTTTGTTTCCCGGCTCCACGTTTAGTTAAACAAACAGCAAGACAACCTCGGGTTAAGAAAGTTCTAGAAAGCTCTAAAGGGTTCGATCCGTGAGGCTCCGGGGTGCAGGGCGATGGACGCCAGGTCGGGCAGAGCAGCGCCTGGCCCTGAGCGTGGACCACGATGACGACGTCCACGCGCGTCCACGCGCGTCCACCACGGCCAGCACATCTTCCTGCCTCTTGGTTTGGCGACTCCCACAATTCCCTGCACCTGTGGAAGCTTCTCTGTGACGTAGTGACAGCACCCAGGACAGAACACGGCAGGTGTCGCCCCCCCCCAGCCTCCCGGAACCCCCAGGGGGCCCCGCCCGACTGCAGGGGCTCTGGCTTGGCGGTCCGGGGTGGGGCTCCAGCATTTGTGAGTTTATCAGAGTGCAGGGGGCGCTGGCAGAGCAGCCTCTGCCCCCACCACGAACCAGCAGATCTGCCAGAACCCGACAGGCGCCCTCCCCCGGGGAAGCTGCGGCCCCAGCTCCCACAGCCTGTCCGCCCAGTTACACCCACTGCCAGGTCTAGCTGAGGTCAAGGGTCATTCATTCCACGGGAGAGACCTTGAGAGGCTGTGGGGTCGTGTCCCAGGTCGCAATGGGCCCCAGGGCCCCTGTGTGCCCGCCTCAGCGTCCTGGCACAGCTGCCTCGGGGCTGGGAGCTGAACCGTGTCACCCACCCCACAGAAACGAACGCATGCTGGACCCCTAAGCTCAGGCCAGGGCTCACAGCCAAGTTCAAATGAAGTTAAGAAGAGGGGCCCAGTCCAAAACGGCTGTGGTTCACCCACAGAGCAGGGATCTGGACCCAGAGACACAGTGGCACAGGGGAGACGGCCATCAGCCGCCTGGGAGTGCGGCCTGGGGCCAAGCAGCTGGCCCACACCTTGACTCTGCCTGCCGGAGCCGCCCACAGAGCGGCTCTCACATGTCATATATCACGGAGAGGTGAAAGCAGCCGACATTGCCGAGAAGGGACCAGGCCAGGGAGCTGCAATGGACTGGCTTCTGTCTGTCGAGTGGTTACCAGTAAGATGGCTTAGTACTTAACCGCCGCAGAGGGCCAGCTCGGGCTCAGGAGCGCAGGCGGCCCAAGCAGGGGACGGTGCGGTCGCCCCAAGCCCACCGCCGTGGAGGGAAGGCAGTTCCCAGCCCACGTCCGGCGCGAGACACCCACAAACCTGGAGCGAGCTCACCGTTCGTCTCCGGGACCAGGCCCACTGCAGGGCTGCTGCCGCCGAATTCGTTTTTTGTTTGGTTTTTGCAGTGCTGCTCACAACCCACTGGAGTGAGTTCACATTTCACTGACGGCCGCAGCACACGCGTGGGACAGCAGTGCCCTGGGGCCAGCCTCAGCACAGGCTCCCGTCCACTGCCCTACACTTGGCCGCCAGAGGGCGTCGCTCAGCAGGGCTGAGTGCCAATAAAGCTTTATTTACAGAAACCAGAGTGGACGCTCCCGCACAGCCCGAGGTGGAGTTGAGGGAGGGCGGGGCGTAGAACCGTGCAGCCACTGCAGAGAAGGTGACCGCGCAGAATGGCCGGTCACGTGACCCAGCCGTCCACACCCAGGCACGCGCCCCAGAGACTTCAAAGCAGACGGCCACTCTCTGTAGCCCAGGTTAAGCTGCCACCTGGAACACCCCCATGCCATGTCTGACGCCTTGTCAGTGTCCCGGCTACTCCACACCTCCAATCCAGCTTCCTGCTAATGCACCCGGCAGGCAACAGGTGGCGGCCCTGGTCCGGGGCCCCCGATGGACCCTGGATGGAGCTCCTGGCTCGTGGCTGCAGCCGGCTCAGCCTCAGCTGCTGCAGGCATTTGGGGAGTGAACCAGCTGATGGGAAAGTCTCTCTCTCTGCATTTCAAATAGATAAGCTTTGAAAAAGAATAAAAAAGCAAGACACACACGTGCATGCATGCACACACACACGTGTTCACTGCAGTAGCTTAAAGGTGGAAGCCACCCCAGTGTCCACCGGGAGGAGGACGGATGAGCAAAGCGTGGTCCAGCCACACAACGGAGCATCACTCAGCCACGTGAAGAAGGCGCTGCCGGCACGGCCGCACACGGATGAACTCGGGACACACGCTTAGTGCAGCAAGCCGGACACAGGAGCGCGGAGGCGGCGCCATGCCGGCCGTAGGCAGAATCTGGGGCGGGCAAGCCGGGTAAGGCGATGGCACCGGGAGAGGGCAGCCGGGGCTGCTGCGGGGTTTCTGTCCGGGGAGCGAGCCAGGCTCAGAGCTGCGCGGCGCTGACGGCTGAGCCACACTAAGTCATTCAGTACTTACAAGTGGCCGGCTTCGTGACGTGTGCCCGCGTGACCTCGCTAACAAACGAAGGAGACTCCCAGACATGGGACGGACTCCGGAGCACATGCTGGGCGTGGCCAAAGGAGCCTGGGGGCGTGGCTGGGGGGGGAAGCGCGGGCCCTCCGAGGTCGCACACGGTGCCTCCAGACAGCGTCCCAGCCACGAGGGCCAGTGACGAGGGCGGCGTCAGCCCAGGGACTGCTGGGCGCAGAAGTTTCCTGGCTGAGGCTGGGTGGGCTTTGCACAGTTCTTGTCATCAGGCCAACACGCATGAGCTCACAACTCCCAGCTGCGTTTCCTCGCTTCTGTTAGCGCTTGACACACGTGACTCCACGCTGACTCTGCATGGGTGTGGGTGTGAGTGTGCATGTCCATGGGTGAGCCCTGCGCACACGTATGTGTGCATGTATGTCTGTGTGAGTGTGCATTTCTGTGCGTGTGTGTGAGTGCAAGCGGGCTCTGTGCAAGTCTGCGTGTGTGTCTCCATGTGTGTGTGTGTCAGTGTACATGTATGGTTGTGTGCATCAAGTTAATTTAAGCAGGTGGAGAGCCAGGTTTGGCGGTGGCCGTGGTCCGCCAGCCCCTGCTCTGGAGGGCGTGCATCCCCTTACGGGGGGGGGGGGGCGTCTCTCAGGCAGCACAGCCCACGCACGCCCAGGGGACAGGAGCGGCCTGGCGTCTGGGTGCTTTCCTGCACCGCGGCAGTGCGGAGGAAACGCGGCCGTGACCGGAGACAGAGGACGAAAGCCCCTCCCCCAGCAGCAGCCGTGGACAGCGCCGCTCCCCGTTAGCCCAGAGGCAGCTGTGCCAGTCACCTCGGCCAGGGAGGGACGGTGCCCCAGGCGCTGCTTCCGGAACTCCAGCCAGCAGTCTGCCCTGCGAATCTGCCCCGTCTCTGACAAACACTGGAGTGTGGTCCTGCGTCACGCGGGCTGCGATTTGAGCCCAGCAGGGCCGTGACGGCCAGGGTGCGATGCTGATGAACCGAGAAACAGCGGGAGACACTTGAGTGTGGCTCGGCTCTCGGGAAATGGGTCCCGCTGAGCCCGCAGGCGTGATCAACTGCCTGATCCCCCGCGGTCTCCAGGGCCTGTTTGAACGCAGGGCCTTTCCCTGCCCGGGTGTCTGAGACAGCAGGGCACCAGCTCCCCATCAGCGTCGCCCCCTCCCATGTACTCCTGCACTTTCCACTCCCCCCACCCTGAAACGCCGCCTTCTCCAGTTTCCCCAGCAGAGGCTCAGCACACACAGCACAGGTGAGCCCTGCCGTCTGTCTCCCCACCAGGCACAAGAACTGCTCCGCAGGATGGCAGGCCAGATGCACCCCCCAGGGGTGGCAGGGACAATGGGGTCTGCCCCGGGCACCGGGAGGGGCCTCCCCACACGAGGAGGAGTCCAGGGAGAGCCCCAGACCCGTCACCGCCACAGTCGTACATCGCACAGCGAGGCCAGCTCACGGCGGGTGGCCGCATGGGCAGACATGAACGCGGCGAGCGTGGGCCGCGTGGTCGAGGCTACGTCACGCTCCTCCGTGCTCTGTTAGGGGCAGGTGGCTTACGGGAAGCCGCCTGAAACCCAGGCTGCGGCATCCGGGCTTCAGGAAGAAGCCGTGCTCAGGCTGGGGTGGGGGGGTTGGGGGTGTCTCGTTGCAGGCAACGAAATCAAGCGCTCCAGTCACTTTCAGACCCTGCTCTGCCCGTGCGGCTCCCTCTTAAAATGCAAAGCTCCTTCCAGGGATCGCAAGTAAACAAAGAAGCCCAAGGCTCGAAGCTCGGAGCAAGGGCTGGTGCTGTGGCATAGCTGGTGAAGCTGCCACCTGCAATGCCGGCATCCGCTGGTTCAAGTCCCAGCTGCTCCTCTTCCGATCCAGCTCTCTGCTGTGGCCTGGGAAAGCAGTGGAGGATGGCCCAGGTCCTTGGGCCCCTGCACCCACATGGGAGACCTGGAAGAAGCTCCTGGCTCCTGGCTTTGGATCAGCGCCGCTCTGGCCATTGTGGCCAGTTGGGGAGTGAACCATCGGATGGAAGACCTCTCTCTCTCTCTCTCTCTCTCTCTCTCTCTGTCTCTCTCTCTCTGTAACTCTTTCAAATAAATAAATAAATCTTTAAAAAACTAGAAGCAAGGAAATCTAACTGAAGGCAGACATCAGCCCGACGTTAGCAGCGACAGGACCCAGAAGACACGCACAGAACCCCCTCCCCACCTCCCCGTGAACACGCCTGCACTTGGACGTCTCGAATGCCTGCATCAGTCGCCCGATGCTACGAGCCAGGGAAGGTCAGTGCAGGTCTCGTCCTCGCGTTTTCACAGGTGCAAGTCACTCACCCGGCACCCTGACTGTCGCCAGACACGCTGGTGACACGGCCACGGATTCCGGGACCTAACCCTGTCCAGAACTCCCTGGCTCAGGACGGGCTGCTTCCTGGCCACAAAAGCCAGGTCTAGATGGCCATGGTAAAGTGAAAAAAATGGGGACCAGCACTGTGGCAAAATGACTTAAGCCAGTGCCGCAGTGCCAGCATCCCACATGGGCTCCGGTACGAGTCCCGGCTGCTCCGCTTCCGATCCAGCTCCCTGCTAATGAGCTGGGAAAGCAGCAGAAGATGCCCAAGTGCTTGGGCCCCTGTGCCCGTGTGGGAGACCCGGATGGAGCTCCAGGCTCCTGGCTCTGGCCTGGCCCATCCCTGGCCGTTGCAGCCATTTGGGGAGTGAACCAGCAGATGGAAGCTTGCACGCTTGTGGCTGTCTCTCTCTCTCTCTCTGCCTGCACCTCGTCTCTCTGCAATTCTGCCTTTCAAATCTATAAATAAACTTCGATAATAATAATAATGTGAAGTGACGCCATTTGCTTCTGGCAACTTGACTGTGCACGGACATGAGATTTCCCGGGGGTGGGCTGGGCTCGCGAGGTCAGCATGGTTGGCAGCTCCTTGGCCGAGGATCGGAGAGGAAGAGCTCGGTGTCCCACACTTCCCACGTGTGTCCCACACGTCCCACGTGTGTCCCGCACTTACCACGCGTGTTCCGCACTTCCCACGTGTATCCCACACTTACCATGTGTGCCCCGCACTTCCCACGTGTGTCCTGCACTTACCACGTCTGTCAGGCGGTACTCTCCGTGCTGCTCACACCCGATGTCAAACACAAACTTCCCAGGGCCCACGGGCTGCAGGCGAAGAGAAGGCAGAGGCTGCCGCAGTGCCGCCCGCCCCACCCGCCCCAGCTCGCCTCCCGGGCCACGCACAGCCGTCCGTGCACACAGCCGTTCCTGCACCACAGCCGTCCGTGCACACAGCCGTTCCTGCACCACAGCCGTCCGTGCACCACAGCCGTCCGTGCACCACAGCCGTCCGTGCACCACAGCTGTCTGTGCACCACAGCCATCCATGCACCACAGCCGTCCGTGCACCACAGCCGTCCGTGCACCACAGCCGTCCGTGCAGAGCTCCGTGCTATTCACCCCCTAGAGCCCTCACACAGGTGAACCCATGAAGGGAAATTCTTACGCAGCCACACCACTGCTTTCCCTTATCGCTCTAGAATTCCTCACTCCTAAGCTAACAAACGTCCACATGGACCACATGGACTCTTCCTGGCCATATTCAAACATCTGCATCTTCTGGAAAGTTCCGCGGTCTGTAGCGGGAGCACAGACTCTGGTTCTTCCCCGACTCCCTGCCCCACATCCCTCAGGGCTTGCAATGACTCCTGTATGGAGTGTGGCGCTGTCCCAGCCACCGGCGCCTGTCTGCACACTTCTCATCTGTACGCCGCTAGCTGCCATCCCACGGCTCCAGTTAGTGCAACTTGTGTTTGTCAGCCAAACACTCCCCCAGGAGCTAGAAGCCAGCAGTAAAAATGTGGGGAAAAGACTGACCTCACCAACGGTCAGGGAGAGGCACCCTGGGAGGGGGGCGGGACAGTCACTCCCAGCAGATTTGAAGGACAAACAACAAAAGTTATTGGCTGGTCATCGTTGGCGCTGAGGCCACTTCGCGGCCAAGAGGCGCAGACCAGCGGGCGAGAGGCTGAGCCGTCTGCCAGGGCAGCGCCAGTGTGGCTCAAGACGCCAGCACCGTGTGCCAGCAACTCCATCCCTTAACCTCACAAACGCTCCTGTCAGACGGCCAAACCACAACCTATTCAATGCACCGGTCTTCAGTGGCCGTCAGCTCACCCCAGAACCGGGCGATGCGTCTGTAACGCGGGAGCGTTCAGGTGCACGGGGTGGGAGGGGCACGGAGGGGGCTGAGGACAACAGAACCCGAGGACACGGAGTGGAGGTCACTTCGGAGGCCCTCCCCCTGTGAGGGATAACGTGGAGGTGACCGCTGGCCTCGTGCCTCTCTCCCAGGCCCCCTGGAAGGCCCGACACAGCTCACTTCCAGGTCGGTGATGGGATCTTTAGCGCGTGTGGCCCCAGCTGGACCTGGTGCAGGAGCTCGGTCCAAACCAAAGGCCTCCTACACATTTAACCCTCACAAACACACAGGGTGACGGGAGGTGTAGCTCTGTGCAGACTTTCGTGTCCCGACACGGTGCAATCCACTCAAGAAATCAAACCCCCAAGCCATGCCCCGGTCAGCCGTCTGCACAGGACACGTGTGCACGTGACGCCCACGGGGTGTGTGCAAGGAGACCCCCTGGAGCCGGGGAGGCAGCGGCAGCGGGCGGCTTGGTCACCATTGCCGACACCAACTTCTGACGCTGTCGCGGCTCCACACACTCCTCCTCCCGGGACGCCCCACCCGGCGTGAGAGCCCCCGAGTCACACGGGGCTTCTCTGAATCCCAGAGGGTCCTGCCCACAAAGGGGTCCTCCAGACACCAGCGGGCATCGGTGGGCACCGGGCACCGGAAGCCCCCGGCCCAGGCAGGGTGCTCAGGGCAGCCCTGACGTCCCTGCGGGGCGGGGGGAGCTGGGGGTCTTCCTCTCCCCGGCAGGAAGCGGTTCTCTGCTGGTGCACGTAGAAAGAACACCCCCATCCCACAGGACAATGCCAAAGACCCCAGGGCTTTGCGCTGAGGCAGAGGAGGGGCTGCGCGTCTCCCCCAGCCCTCCCCACCCCGCGTGGGTGTGAGAGGCCGCGTGCCCCCAGCTGCAGGCAGCCGGCGTTCAGCGCTCTCCATCCACACCCCCCGGGAGGAGGCCCCGCCCACCACGCCGCAAGCTGGTTTCCCAGCGACTTACGTTTTTGTTCAGGAACTTGCCCTGGTACCTGTGGTTCAGGTGGATGAGCTCGGCCGCGCCCTCCTGCTGTCCATTCACCCAGGTACCGACGTACTTACTGCCCGTCTCCGCGTAGAAATAGGTGCCTTGCCCGTGCCTGGTCACAACAAGGGGCACAGGGCAGTCTGTCCCAGCCTCGGGGGAAGCCCCCCAGGTTGTCACCCGCACTGTGGACGTGAGGGTGGCCCAGGGTGGCCCAGCAGGGGGCAGGTGCATGACTAAGGGGGCTCAGGGACAGTAAGGGGACGCAGAGGTCAGCATCACCAGGGGCAGCCGCCTCCTGCCTTCCCCGGGAGGAGGCAGAGACCCCGAGAGCCGTGCTCCCATCCCCCAGACAGCCCCTCGGTGCTCCCCACCCCCGGGGGCTCGCGGCTGAAGGCTCCACGTGTTCCGGGGGAGACGGCCGCTGCTGAAGCTGCACCTGGCCAGCCAGGCTTCCCACCGCGAGCTGCCCTGGCCCCCGTGGAAAGCCTGGAGCCGGCAGAGCCGCTGAGGGGCTTTGTTGTGACGAGAGACATTTCTTAGGGAGTGAAACGGCCCAGAGACATCCCCGCAAGACGGAAGACCCCCAGTGCACCTTTGGTGAGCGAACCACTCTCCGGTGTAGGTGTCGTTGTTGACGTAATAGTACACGCCGTGGCCGTGCCTCTGGTCGTCGGCCCACTCCCCTGGAGGGTGACACAGGGCAGGCCCAGGTGAGGGGCAGTGGCCGGGAGGGCCTGGCACCGAGCCCCACAGAGCTCTGCCCGCGGCTCCTCCCACTTCCCCCCGTGCTCCATCGTCTTGCGCCAGGCGACCTGGCCTGGCCGAGCCATTTGGCAGGCTGACAGGGGAGGGCTCAGCGAGGATGGAGAAGCCACCTGTGCAGACCAGGGCCCACGGCTGACCTCAGCCAGGGCGACAGGCCTCTCCCCGATGACCCCAACACTGCATTCACCCCGTGGCTGCTCAGTGGCCCAGCAGCAACCGCGCGGCTCCTTAAGAGTTGGGGGGATTCCCAAGGTCCCCAAAGTCTGTGTGCAGGGTCAGCGGTGACCGGGGTTGCGCGGCAGGGACCTGACCTGGTGACAGCTCAGATGTCCCGGGGTGGGCAGGGGGAGGTCTTTAGGCCGTGAAGGGTGGGGAAGTCCCTGCCAGGGGCTGGTTGTCTCCGCCAGGCAGGGCGCGTCCCCTCTGCCCGCCAGCTCGCGGGGGGCACTCCCTCCCCCGCACCCTGTCATCGCCAGCTCCAGGAGGCTCCAGGCCGAGCCTGGACTGTGACCCTCCGAACTCCGAACTCGAGGGCCCCTCATTCCCTCCCAAGTTGCTCCTCCAGGGCCTTGTTAGAGCAACAGAAAACCTGGCCAGTCCCACCGTCTGCCAGCACCACACTCTGGCTCCCACCCAGCTGCCTGGCTCCCCTCACCTGCTGGCCGAGCCACACCACCCGGCCCCGCCCCCTGCGCGGCCTTGTCCCTCGCCTGGGCGGCCCTGTCCACCCGGCCCCGCGCCCTGCGTGGCCTTTTCCCTCGCCTGGGCGGCCCTGTCCACCCGGCCCCGCGCCCTGCGCCTTGTCCCTCGCCTGGGCGGCCCTGTCCACCCGGCCCCGCGCCCTGCGCGGCCTTGTCCCTCGCCTGGGCGGCCCTGTCCACCCGGCCCCACCCTGCGTGGCCTTGTCCCTCGCCTGGGCGGCCCTGTCCACCCGGCCCCGCCCCCTGCATGGCCTTGTCCCTCGCCTAGGCGGCCCTGTCCACCCGGGCCCGCGCCCTGCGTGGCCTTGTCCCTCGCCTGGGCGGCCCTGTCCACCCGGCCCCGCACCCTGCGCGGCCTTGTCCCTCGCCTGGGCGGCGCTGTCCACCCGGCCACACCGGCCACCTGCTCCTTTCAGGCAGGTGTGCAAGGAAACACTGAGATTCACAAGTGTTGTAAAGCCAGGGCGACTCCACGGCAAACGGGTGTCGCCAGCTAAAGGCGTTCACCAAGAGTCCCTGAGCCAGGAGAGCCGGGGCTCCTCCCAGCTTACAGCCACCTGGGAGGGAGACGGACAGGGCTTCCCTGACAGACAGCTTTCTTGAACACTCACACGACGCCAGCCGTGACTAGTCGCTGACATGAACGACACTCTTCTAGACCGAGAATTGAAACAAAACCTAATTTGCTTGATTCGTTGATCCAAGGGTGAAAACAAGTCAGTGTCCTGGTCTAAGAAAGGGCCTCAAAGCCGTGCTCGCGTGCAGGCCTTCAAGGAGCCAGCAGCGTCCACAGAGGTGGAAAGTCGAGCTGCCTTCTTGCAGACGCGGCACCTTCCTGGGTTCTGTAGTGTCCGGGGGGTTGTGAAAAGTTATTTACTTTGATTTCTCATGGCTAACGAAAATGCACCCCCACAGCCGCTCCTTCCTGACGCTCCAGGCTTCCGGGGGAGAGCCTCTTCCCCAGGCAGATGCGCAGCGCTCGCTCTGCCGGGAAAAGGCCAACGATCGAAGCAATACGTGCGGCAAAAGCAGGTCCCGTCCCCCGAGCCACGCCACCATTTCCTGGGCTCTCTGGGAGGCGGCTGGGCCAACAGCTCGGGGAGCCGGGGAGCCGTCACTGGGCTGGGGAGGGCGCGGTGGACTGGGCACCCTCAGCAGGGGAGGGGCCGGCGGCAGAGAGCGCCCCACTGATTCCCAGGGCCGGGTCCAAGCTCAGGGAGCATCCGGGGTGGGGGAGGGTGGCAGCATCTGAGGAAGAGGACCAGGTTCCATGACGGCCTGGGGGACAGGGACAGCAGGGGACAGGGACAGCAGGGGGACAGGGACGGCAGGGGACGGGGACAGCAGGAGAGAGGGACAGCAGGGGAGAGGGACGGCAGGGGACAGGGACAGCAGGGGAGAGGGACGGCAGGGGAGAGGGACAGCAGGAGAGAGGGACAGCAGGGGAGAGGGACGGCAGGGGACAGGGACAGCAGGGGACAGGGACAGCAGGGGACAGGGACAGCAGTGGGGGCAGGGGGCAGGGACAGCAGGGGGGGCAGGGGGAGCACCCCAGAAGACAGAGGATTCAGCAAAACAGCCTTGGGCCTCTGGGACAGTGTGGGGACAGGGACAGTGGGGGGACAAGCAGAGTGGGGGGACAGGGACAGTGGGGGTACAGTCAGAGTGGGGGGACAGGCAGAGTGGGGGGACAGGGACAGTGGGGGGACAGGGACAGTGGGGGACAAGTACAGTGTGAGGACAAGCAGAGTGGGGGGACAGGCAGAGTGGGGGGACAGGCAGAGTGGGGGGACAGGCAGAGTGCCCCCTGCCCTGCCCCGAGGATGTGTCTGCGGTGACTGCCGGATGGCCAGCAGCCCCAGCACTTCTTCCCCACCACAGCCAGCTCCCTGCCCACAGGGTGGGGCTTTGGGCACCGCGGCCAGCTGGCTTCAGACAGTGGCGACCTGGCCACTGGGCTCCTCCCAGCAGGAGACCACGACCGCATTGCCACGCCCCTCTGCTCTCAGGGGCAGCGGGACTGGAAAAACCTGCCGCGGATTTACAGAAAAATTTCAGAAACTGAAAAATTCAGTTGCAAAAAGTCGCTCGATTTCCCGTCGGGGAGTCAGGGTTTTTCCAGCCCTGCTCCGCCCGCAGACCACGGAGCCACCATGGAAAACCCAGCGCAAGACAGACCCTGCCCCGCCGTGAACAGCATGTGGGAACTGTGTCACCGTGGCTTGAAATTTGCACTTTTTAAAAAAAGTCTTTCGCCTCTGATGTCATCTTAGCAGCTGCATTTCTCTCTTGAGTAACCCCCCACGCTGGCTGCCCTCTGGGTTTTCCCCTGGGAGGGGCACTGTGTCCCTTACAAAGCTCTGCCATCAGTGCCAAGACAGATGGGGCCCCCCGGGCCCGGCCCCCTGGGGGCTAAACACCCCCGTCCCCCCCCCCAGGCTAGTCAGTGTGATCTCGCCAAGATGGCCCCCTCTGCCAGGGCAGCCAAACTCAGAAGAGAGGAACCAAGGTTGGTGGGGAAACCGCTCTGAGCCGGTACGGGGCGTCCCCACCCCCACCCCGCACTCGCCATAGGCCTGGGTCTGCACACCCCGGGGAGCCCCAGCAGAGCGTCGCGTTTCCTCCCAGAGGAGCCGGCTCCGCACTGCCTCGCGTCGCCCTCCCTCCCAAGTCTCATTGTGGACAGGCAGAGTGGACAGTGAGAGAGAGAAACAGAGAGAAAGGTCTTCCTTTGCCGTTGGTTCACCCTCCAATGGCCGGTGCACCGCGCTGATCCGAAGGCAGGAGCCAGGTGCTTCTCCTGGTCTCCCATGGGGTGCAGGGCCCAAGCACCTGGGCCATCCTCCACTGCACTCCCTGGCCACAGCAGAGGGCTGGCCTGGAAGAGGGGCAACCGGGACAGAATCCAGCGTCCCGACCGGGACTAGAACCTGGTATGCCAGCGCCGCAAGGCGGAGGATTAGCCTAGTGAGCCGCGGCGCCGGCTCATTGTGGACCTTGGATGAGTTCTGGTGGGCGGGCAGCAAGACCAGCGTCAGAGAGCCACACCCTCTCTGCCTTCCCAGCCTGAGACCCTCAGGTGCCCCCACCCACCCCCAAGCTTCCAAATCTGCACGGGTGGCCCCACCTGCCCCCAACACCGGGCTTCCAGCCTCCTGCCTCCGGTGGCCTCACCTCCCAGCGGCCCCCACCCTGCCCACTGGAGCTCCTGCTCCCTCCTGGGCCACCTCGTGGGACACGTGGGCCCTTGGTGGGGGTCACCAGCCTGTGGTTGAAAGATGACTGACTTACGGACCTGAGGTTATACCGCACGCAGCCCCTGAGTCCGGTTTCCATCACCGTCGGAGGAATGAGGCGCTTTCCTGGGCTGCGGTGGGAGGAGGGCTCCCGAGGCAGGTGCTGCACCTGTCCCCTGTGGGGCTGCAAGCCATCCCGACTGTTTCCAGGCGACCGTGTGCGTTAGTGCGGCTCCGACACACTGTCCCTAGCACAGAGCTCCGGAAATCCTTGGAGCTTCCCGGGGGGACGGAACGTCACTCACAGGGAGCCAGCCTGCAGGAGGAGCTGCTGCTGGGAGGGCCCCGAGGGTGGGCGTGCTCAGCCCACTCTGCAGCCTCGCGCGCTGGGGCGGGGGCTGCTCCGTGAGAACCCGGGGGCCCTGAGCTCTGATGGTCGTGTCTCTGTGCACAGCTGGGTCTCCACAGAGCGCCCACAAACCTGCCTCCCAATCCAGACCCCATCTCCAGCCTTGGTCCCCAGGGGACCCACTCTGTCCAGCACGGCTACGAATCGCAGCTCCTGCACCCGCTCCGCAGGCACACAGACCCCAGGGGAGCGTGAATCCTGCCAGTTTCCCGTGACGGGAATGAGACGGACGGGGATTGGCAATCCAGATACACACTCCCGTGACACTTCCCGTCCCAGCCGCTCCGCTTCCGACCCAGCTCCCCACTAGTGTGCTAGGAGGCAGCAGATGGTGGCTCCAGTCCTTGAGACCCTGCCCCCACGTGGAAGACCTGGATGACGCTCCCGGCTCCTGGCTTCCGCCTGGCCCAGCCCTGGCCGCTGCAGCCACTGGGGGAGTGAACCGGTGGATGGGAGATCTCTGTGTGTCACTGTGCCTTTCAAATAAGTGAACAGGGCCTGGGGAGCACGAGCCCAGGTGTGGGTGCGAGTCACGCCACGTGGCAGTGGTACAGGGGCAGCGGTGAGGCTCGGACAAGGAGCTCCGGAGACGCTGGCTCGGGGCGGGGGACTGCGGCTGAGATAGGCAAAGCCCGGCTCACAAGGCAGAGGCCACCAAGGAAACACCCCGCCCTCAGAAGAAGGGCTGGAAGAAACACAGAACGGGGAGGCGGAGCCATGATGACAGACACCTGCCTTTCATTTCCTGCTCCTGGAGCAAGGCCCACCCCCAAGCTGGCCACAGGGACCGGATTTCCTGAATTAACTGCAAGCAAGGCTCTCTGGTTTCCATAGCAACCCCGTGACCACATTCCTGGACCGACCTAGAGGACCTGAGCCCTGGATGACTGATGGACGTGGGGGACCTGAGCCCTGGACGACTGACAGACATGGGGAACCTGACCCATGGACAACTGACCGACGTAGAGGACCTGAGCCCTGGACGACTGACGGACGTGGAGGACCTGAGCCCTGGATGACTGACGGACATGGGGGACCTGACCCCTGGACGACTGACCGACGTAGAGGACCTGAGCCCTGGACGACTGACGGACGTGGGGGACCTGAGCCCTGGAGGACTGACGGACGTGGGGGCCCTGAGCCCTGGAGGACGGACGGACGTGGGGGACCTGAGTCCTGGATGACTGACGGACGTGGGGGACCTGAGCCCTGGAGGACTGACCGACATAGAGAACCTGAGCCCCGGGCCACTCTCAGACATGGGGGACCTGAGCCCTGGACGACTGACCAACGTAGAGGACCTGAGCCCGCTGTGCCTCGCAGGTGAGTGGAGGCAGGGAAGGGAGACCGGGCGCGGGCTCTGCTCTACCTTCGTACCGCGAGCCGTCCGGGTAGATGAAGGTGCCCTGGCCATGCTTCTTGTTCTTCACGTACTCTCCGATGTACCGAGCTCCGTTTTTAAACTTGTAGACGCCCTGAAACACAGCCGTCGGAGGGCCCCGTCACTCCCGATTCCACCTGTGCTGACGGCAATGGGACGCCGCCGCTGGTTCTGACCTGGCCGTGTCTTTTCCCGAACTCATAGCTCCCTTCGTAAACGTCGCCGTTGGGCAGCCTCGCTTTCCCGTGCCCGTGCCGCTCGCCTGCCTCGTTCCGCTCCCCCTCGTACTCCTGGGGGAGAGAAGTGGAGAGAGCTGCGGCTCCCGCCCGTCCAGTGCCACGAGTTCCGTGGACACGGTGCTGGGGAAACCCTCCCGATCCTGGGCGCCACGCTCAGTCGGCCCGGGAGGGGAACCGACTCGCGTGTGGGTGCATGGGGGCACGGGGGACGCCCCCTCCCCGGACAGCTGCACTTGTGACCCTCTGAGAACCCTTTATACCGGAAGCAGATTGACCGAATTGCGAAACCTGGGGGTGGGACGGCCCCGCCCTGCACACACCTGCCCTGCACGCACCTCTTCCTGGCTCCCCCCAGTGCTACCGGACCAAGGGCAAATACCTGAGTCTCCCCCAAGGCGCCCTCCCTTATCTGTGGCCTGAAGAGGCCTTTGCCCCCACCAAGGAAACTCAGACGACAGGGGGAGGGGTCCTGGGGGAGGGGTGCTCCGGTGTGCACTGGCTTGGTTTAGTTTACCTTATTTTTGCCTTAAAGATCTTATTTATTTATTTATTTATTTGAGAGGTAGAATTTCAGACGGCGGGGAGCAGGAGGTGGGGATAGGTCTTTCATCCGCTGGTTCACTCCCCAATTGGCCACAACGGCCGGAGCTGTGTCCATCTGAAGCCAGGAGCCAGGAGCTTCTTCCCGGTCTCCCACGTGGGTGCAGGGGCCCAAGCACTTGGCCCATCTTCCACTGCTTTCCCAGGCCAGGCCATAGCAGAGAGCAGGATTGGAAGTGGAGCAGCCGGGACTCAAACCAGCGCCCAGATGGGACGCCTTAGGTGGAGGCTTAGCCCACTGTCCAAGTGCCAGCTAAAATTCATCTTATTTTTAAACTGCCAATCAAGACTTAGGGTTCAAATACTCTCAGCAATACTCAGTAAATTTAAAAGTAAATCAATAAAAAATATAACACAAGCTCCCCAGGTCCCTAATTTTCCTGTCTTTCATAAAATAAACATTCCTTTGCACTTGGCCTCAGTATAGAGCACGTATAATAAATAATAAAGTGGGGGCTGGTGCTGTGGTGTAGTGGGTAAAGCCGCCTGCAGTGCCGGCATCCCAGGTGGGCACCAGCTTCGAGTCCCGGCTGCTGCACTCCCCGTCCAGCTCCCTGCTCATGCACCTGGGAAAGCAGCAGAAGACGGCCCGAGTGCTTGGGCCCCTGCACCCACGTGGGAGACCCGGAGGAAGCTCCTGGCCCCTGGCTACAGCCTGGGCCAGCCCCAGCCATCATGGCCATCTGGGGAGTGAAACAGCAGATGAAAGACCTCTCTCTCTCTCTCTCAATCTGTGTGTCTCCCTCTCTCTGTAACTCTGCCTTTCAAATAATAAAAAATTTTTTTTAAAAAATGGAATTTTTTTTAAGGTGAATGGAATTGGACATGTCTGGATTTATTACAACACAAACACAGACACCGATATTACAAACGTCAGACTCGGGCAGGTTAGGTCACTGCTTGGGAGGCCGGCACTGGGAGTGCCTGGGGTGGATCTGCCACCCACGTGGGAGACCCAGATGGAGCTCCTGGCTCCTGACTTCAGCCTGGCCCAGTCCTGGCTGTTCCAGGCATCTGGAGTGAACCAGTGGACGGAAGCTCGTTCGCTCCCTCTCTCCCTCTCTCTGTCACTCTACCTTTCAAATAAATAGGCAAATCACTTGAAAAACACTTGATTAACAAACACCTGTGCCATTCTTGCCCTTTCTAGCACCGTCTAACCCAGAACCTGCAGACTTGATTCAAGGTAGCACAGGGCACAGAAGGCCCCCGCCCGTCGGGAGAACCCCCACCACCACCACGCCAGGCACCTGCTGGAGCGGAGAAATCCTTCCAAGGGACCCCCGTGTGATCTGGACCTAATCTGTGGGCCCAGGAAAGCTACCCCTCGGTGGGAGGCCCAGGGCAGAGGCCAGGGAGGCAGCCGGGCCGCGCACATCGCGGGGAAGCCCGGTGGGGGTGCGAGCTCCGGGCTCGTGGGGGCTTCCGGCCGGCCGGGCGGGGCGCTGGGTCTGCAGGGCGGGCTCGCAGGGGGCGGGATGCTGCGGTGCGCTCTGAGCCCACGCCACACCCGCCGGGTGCCGATGCGGGGGCCCGCCTGGACACCCCGGCCCCCGCCTGGACACCCCGGCTCTCCGGGACTGCGGCTCGGGGTGACCCTCACCCCAAGATCGTTCTCTCTCTCTTCCTCTAGCTCTTCCGAGCCCAGGTCCGACATGGCCTCGGCCCAGCTCCGATCCCTGCAGATAGGCACCGGCCACTCCCGCCGCCGCGTCGGCTGTCGCCATGGAGACGGGGCCAGCCGGGTCTCGCGCAGGTCCGGGATGCTAGGAGGAGAGCGCCTGGAGCAGCCACGGGCAGCCCCTCAGCCAATCACTGCCGAGGAAGAGGTGGGGGGCGGGCAAGAGGGCGTGGCGGTACGAGACGAGGAGCCACTGGTAGGCTTCGCGTACTGTCATACAACGGGAAGGGAGCCTCAGCCAATCCCCGTCGTGAAATAGATGGGAGGCGGGCAAGAGGGCGTGGCGAGAGACAGGGGAGGAAGTACTGGAGGCCTTCGCGTGCTTTCATAGCAACGGGTAAGACCCCTCAGCCAATCGCCGCCAAGGACGAGGCGGGGGGGAGGGGCAGGCATGAGGGCGTGGCGGGAGGCGAGGGGCGGAGCCTCTGCCAGGCATCGCGTAGTATCATAGCAACGAGAAGTGGCCTCAGCCAATCGCCGTCGGGGATGGAGGACAGGCGGGCGAGAAGGGAGACCCGGACAGGAGCCGCAGGAGGCCCTCGCGTGCTGTCATGGCAACGGGAAGGGCGCCTCGGCCAATCGCCGCCCGGGAAGGCGGTGGAGGCGGGGCCTAGGCGGGCCGCGTCCCCGGTGGCCGTCGGGCTGCTTCGCGCGGACGCCGCGTCACGGCCCCCGGAACCCCCCGGCCGGGCTCTGGGACCTGGCGCTGCCCCTCCGCGCCCGGCCCTCGGCCCCTGGGCTCCTCAGCGCCCTTACCGGCTCCCGGCTCTTCCGGGTTCGCCGCGATCTTTAGTCCTCGTCGCGGCAGGTGTCGCCCCCGCTCCCGGCCGCCGGCGCGCGCCCTCGCGTACGCGCACGCACGTACATGTGTGTTCGCGTGCATGACAGGCGCATGGCCTCACACTAGTACACGCCAGCTGTCGCACACGCATGTAGGTATTGTGCACGCGTGCACATGCCACGCGCTCACACACGGACACACCCCCTGGAACGCGGGCCGTCCCACTCCACCTCCCCGGGGTGTGGCCCTCCCCCGTGTCCCCATGTCCTGGGGCTGCGTCCACTCCGCCTTCGCCCTGGGCGCTCGGCCTCCAGCCCCTGGCCTCCGTGTCCCCCAGCCGGCCTGGAGCTGCGGACAGACACACATCCCCCATCTGCCCGTCCAATTCACACCCGTTCCCCGAGGACGGCCAGGGAGTGCAGGAGCCCAGGCCCAGCGAGGGCCCGCCGGAGCTGGGGGCTTCTGCCCGGTCCTGTCTCACGTCTAGCCGGCCGTCTGCTACCTACCTGTCACCTGTCTCTGTTCATCTACCCAGCTGTCCTCTCTCCCAGGTGCCTGTTTTAAGGATCTGAAGGCAGCAGAATGTCATTCGGAGCGGCGAGTTCCTAGACTGACCGACCAGCACGCCTGCCACACGCAGGGTGTGGGCCGTGAAGTGTGCCCCGCCCGCTTTGTCTCCATGACCACAGGCACCCAGCACACCGCTGGCCACCCCGAAGCCGGGCCCCGCATGTGACCATCAGGGGACTGGTGCTGGCCTCTGCGCCTCACTTGGAAATGGGAACAGACGAGCCGAGTCCTGGAGACTCTGAGTGCCAGGAGGTCGATGGCGCCCTGGATTTCTGGCGGAATGCAGGCCGGCTTCCTGGGCTGGTGACCAGGGGAACGGACGCCTTCCTGGGCGGGCGGCCGTAGGCTGTGCCCCACGGCTGTTTAAACACCTGCTCTCACAGTTGCCCACTTGTGTATCCATTCCCTCACGCGTTTTTGCGAATTACACCAACAACTTTCACCCGGAGTCTACACAGCGTGCAGGCTTCTGAGGCTTTTGGACCGGAACCTGGTCAGCAGTGACAGCCCAACCAGCTGCTCCTTTAGTCTAAGTAGTCTTTAAAAAAAATCGATTTAAAAGGCGGTAAACGGGTCTTAAAGTCACCATTGTTTGGCAAAAAACATTTCTTCCCTCAAGTCCGACGGCCCAACTTGTAGTTCTGGGTTTCCCAGCGCTTTTTTTTTTTTTTTTTTTTTTTTTTTTTTAAGCAGAGTCAGAGACACACAGAGTTCGGGAAGAGAGAGAGAGAGAGAGAGAGACAGAGAGAGACGCAGAAAGACGGGGAGAGAGAGGGGGAGAGCAGGTGTCCACTGGCTCCGTCCCTGAGTGCCTGCCAGGAGCCAAGAGCTCCACCCAAAGCCCCCACGTGAGTGGCAGGGACCCGGCCACCCGGCAGGCTCACGTCCAGGTGTGGTTTCCCGCACATGGAAGCGCACGTGGGAAATTCAGCTTCTGAGGTCGACGTGGCCGAGGGCGGCAGCCACGGGGCCTCTCCGCCCGCTCCCGCTCCCGCCGTCGGGCAGAGGGGACAGAGAGGGACAGGGCTCCCTGGAGCCCAGGCGGGGATTCACCCCGGCGGAATCACTGGGAGCAGCCGCAGCTCAGGGCCCGGAGGCAGCCGCGAAGGCACCGCACGGGTGGGAGGACAGCTGGGCGCCCCCAGGACCTCGTGAACCACAGGCGGGCGTGCCGGGTGGGGTGAGGCCCAGGGCAGGTGCACACCCGGCGCGGAGCCGCGTGGACTTCGTGGCCAGAGCTGTGGCCAGGCGTTGCTGGGGAGCCCACGTCACTCCTGGAGCCCATGTCACTGGGACGTGCGGATGCGGTGGCCACAGCCCATGGTGCCTCCCAGAGGCAGCGTCCGGTGAGCACGCACCACCGACCACGCAGTGACCCCAGCCCCTGGCACCAAGGGGACCCGCGGAGCAGACCGCGCAGGGCCAGGCTCCTCCCAGGCTCAGGCTGGCACTGCCCGCTCTGCACACCCGGAGCCCAGCACCCGCCGAGGCCCGGGCGCGGACTTCCTGCTCAGCCCTGCCCTGGGAGGCGACCGAGCCCACAGACAGCGCCCGAGGCTCTCAGCACCCCCCCAGGACCCACCGAGGCCCAGGAGACGCTGTCAGAGGCCTCCTTCCTCTCCCCAATCCCTGTCTGAGCCGCTAAAGGGCAGACGGAGACCTCCCTCATCCCTGAGGGTGCTTCCCACTGCCCCAGGGCTTCCCACAGTGCAGGGGTGCGACCTTGGGGTGAGGTGACACAGTGCAGGGTGTGTGACCTTGGGGGTGAGGTGGTGCAGGGTGTGTGACCTTGGGGGTGAGGTGGTGCAGGGTGTGTGACCTTGGGGGTGAGGTGACAGTGCAGGGTGTGTGTGACCTTGGGGGTGAAGTGGTGCAGGGTGTGTGACCTTGGGGGTAAGGTGGTGCAGGGTGTGTGACCTTGGGGGTGAGGTGTGACCTTGGGGGTGAGGTGGTGCAGGGTGTGTGACCTTGGGGGTGAGGTGACAGTGCAGGGTGTGTGTGACCTCTGGATGAGGTGACAGTGCAGGGTGTGTGTGACCTTGGGGGTGAGGTGGTGCAGGTGTGTGTGACCTTGGGGGTGAGGTGACAGTGCAGGGTGTGTGACCTCTGGATGAGGTGACAGTGCAGGGTGTGTGTGACCTTGGGGGTGAGGTGGTGCAGGGTGTGTGACCTCTGGATGAGGTGACAGTACAGGTGTGTGTGACCTTGGGGTGAGGTGGTGCAGGTGTGTGTGACCTTGGGGGTGAGGTGACAGTGCAGGGTGTGTGTGACCTTGGGGGTGAGGTGACAGTGCAGGGTGTGTGTTGACCTTGGGGGTGAGGTGACAGTGCAGGTGTGTGTGACCTCTGGATGAGGTGACAGTGCAGGGTGTGTGTGACCTTGGGGGTGAGGTGGTGCAGGGTGTGTGACCTCTGGATGAGGTGACAGTGCAGGGTGTGTGTGACCTCTGGATGAGGTGGTGCAGGGTGTGTGACCTCTGGATGAGGTGACAGTACAGGTGTGTGTGACCTTGGGGGTGAGGTGACCGTGCAGGGTGTGTGACCTTGGGGGTGAGGTGGTGCAGCGTGTGTGACCTTGGGGGTGAGGTGGTGCAGCGTGTGTGACCTTGGGGGTGAGGTGGTGCAGGGTGTGTGACCTCTGGATGAGGTGACAGTACAGGTGTGTGTGACCTTGGGGGTGAGGTGGTGCAGGGTGTGTGACCTCTGGATGAGGTGGTGCAGGGTGTGTGACCTCTGGATGAGGTGACAGTACAGGTGTGTGTGACCTTGGGGGTGAGGTGACCGTGCAGGGTGTGTGACCTTGGGGGTGAGGTGGTGAGGGTGTGTGACCTCTGGATGAGGTGGCGCAGTGCCTGCTGGGGCTTGAGGAAGCTCTTGGTACATGTTAGGGTCACTGTGCGTTGTGTGGCCGCCACCCTCGCAGCGGGCTGAGAACATTTGGTCTGTAGGTGCCTGGGGAATTGTGACCCTGGTTTGCTTTGTGGTTCTCAGTCGAGTTTCTTTCAGGAAGAGGTGGAATTACCAAAGATGGCTGTGGTATTCAGAGATTAGTCCATGATGAACAGGTTACCATCGTCCTGGTTAATCGTCACCAATGGCCATGGAGTGGGAGGACACTGAAGTTTCTAGAAATATGCAGACATGTGTTATTCAGAATTTTGGCTGTGTCGGGGAGGTAGCTCCTATAAAGTTGGACACAACAAGGAGGGAATAAAATACACACACAGGAATGCGGTTCCGTGGAAGGACGTGGAGATGCAATTATCCGAGAATCAGATGGCTTCCATCCAGGAAGTGGATTATTCACATTGATCACACCAGCTGGTCAGTGGACGTGAGCCAGGGTGGAGCCCAGGGATCTCAGACTTGAACCTGGGCGGCTGCTCCGCCCTGAGGACGCCACCTGGCTGGCGCCTGCACACAGCAGGTGTTCTGACGTGCAGGTTCATCACATTGAATGCGTTTTGAAACAGAGTTGTACTTAATGAAGCACTCGAGAAAGACCAAAAAAAAAAAAAAGGCAAAGTATTTTATTCTTTATTTTCCTGCTTGAGCGTGATCTTGGCTTTTTTATCTTACTCAAATCAGACTTCATTTTCCAGGGATTCTGTCAGCGCGTCGCTGCCTAAGGGCATCCAAGTGTGTGCTGGGCCGCAGACGAAGGGTTAATAATGAAATGAGAAAGGGATTGTAACCACTCCACTCCGGGGCAAACTCTGGGTTAATCCACCCTGGAGGGGTGAGGACGG